CCTACATCTCTCCCCCATAAATTACACCTCTGACCCCCCCCCCCCCCTCCCACCACAGCTGAGATATCTCCAGCTTCCCTACATACCATATTTCAATACCTCCAGCCCCCCGTGTGGGTTCCGGGGCCCCATTGTAGGGGAAAACAAGAATAGACCCACTGCCTCCCCAAAAGCATGTCGTAAGAGTCGACTAATTGGGGAGCTTCCTTTGAAGTCGGAGTGCATCTGCCGGAGAGGTAAGAAACCAACAGTCTGTATTCAAGAGAATGAGATCTGTAAAACTGATGCACACGCAACAGTCAGGTTCTGGAGGAGCAGGACTCCAGTTCAGTAGTGGACGAGCAACCAGAACTTTCCGCCAGAATGTACAGCTGGTGAACGCGAAGAAGAAGAAGAAGAATACCTCCAGCTTTGCCACAAACCACATCTCTAATACACCAAGCTTTCTTACACGATCACCATAATCATGGTTCCAACTGTCAGCCAATCTTGAATCTTCATCAAGCGCCTTGCTGACTTGCGTGGGAGATCAGCAACTGCGTGTATCAGTTCGTGTGTTGACGAAAGGAATACTCCACATGTTTCTAGGCTTAGGGAAAAACAAGCTCTGCAACACAGTTCGCGACGAGAAGGTACTTCGGTAGCAGGTCGAGAAAAAAAAAAAGACTCATCGACCAACAGGTACAAGTAGGCAGGTGCTTTGCTTGAGAAAACAAATCGTCACATCCAGGGGGAGCTTTAGGTTATAATTGGGGGTAGGGTATGTCCGCCATCACTGCACGTCAACAAGAGCTTGAAAAGGACTCCTGCAGTATTGATGCGATCAAAGTAGACTGACTCAATACTTTCCCGATCGTCGACGAAATCATCTACCGGCGAGCCAGTTGACGATCCGGTCGCCGACTGCAACAGATGCAAGCACTTTTAAAATTTTAGAACTGCTGAACCGGAATTTTAGTGCATCTGACTTCAGAGCGGAAACGTCTTCCAATATAGTAAATGGCCGCTACGTGGTGCATTGAAGATGTTGCCTAGACAGTACGGGGGACAGTAAGTAAAAACGTATGAGATCAGATGCTCTACGAACAGGACACTGCAGGTCCAACTAATTCATGCATAAAATAAAGACTACAGTCCCCACAGTGTGCCAGTCAAACGGGACCACAAGCACATGAGCACAGTCTGCAGACTTGCCCACTCTACCAACAACTTCGAAAAGAAACCTGGCCTCAAGAGCAAAGTGTGCAGAGCAAGCTATGGGGAACCATGCAAGACCTGCAGATGACATGCGAGTTCATAGAGGCCACCCACCTGAGCATAAGAAACCGAACGCAAAGAAGAAGAAAAGATTAGAGCCGCCTGATCTTGCGGCTTGGGTCCTTGCACACAGCTAGTACAATTGTAGAGGTTCTTGTGTTCTCTTTTGCCCCCCCCCCCCCTTTTTTTTTCCAAACTAGTCGTACTCTGTGTTCAAGTCCGTTGTCGTGTGTTCGTTTCAGAAGTGAACATTTTAAGATCATCTGGCATCGTCGCTGAAGTTACAGCGTTAGTACTTTGTGTGCCACTCTCAGCAAGCGACTTGTTCAGCGGAGAGAGACTGAACCATGTGGGATAAAACCCGGTGCAGTAAAGCTGACCCTCTTGACTTGTACACGTATAGCATAACAGATAAGATCATTTGACGAGAATCACCTGGTACCGTTGCTATGCTGAAAAAACAATCAACAAAGCAAGGGAAAGATGGTATTAAGAACATTCGACGTAAAGCAGCGTATGGAGAAACCGTTTGTGATCCACAGTTTGATGGGAAGCACTAGGAATTTTCATTCTGTATTTATGTAGAATGTCCTTAAAGTTATGTCAGTTTTCTCTTTCATGCCAGATCGTTTTATGAGCAGCGCCTGTGTTTGTAGCTGCATTCTAACAAGATGACTGAACCATTTGATCTTCCGCTTCTTAGTAAATTTGGAGCACGGCGTTGTTCCTAGTCTCACAGAATCAATTCTCATTTTGCCGTGGATGGTTACGCTGGCGGCTTTCCAAGGGCATATAATCAAACGTGGTAATAATCATCAACAACAAGAACAGCCGTAAAGAAATTACGATGACCTTATACAACGCCTTAGAAATGGCACAGAGAAGATCGTTAGGTCCCCCAACAATGATTGGGTAACAGAAGGGAATTGCAGCACCGGAATTGGAATTCTTCTTTGGCTCCTGAAGATGAGCACAGAGCGCTTATGTGAATGTCTCGAGTGATGTGATATCAGTTTTGTGTTAGCACAACACTCAACTGCAGGGAGATATGAAAAGTATTGGCTAAGTGTGCCTCGAGTGCTGGAGGTCACGGGTTCAGGCCCCGATAAGAGCTGGGATTTTTTTTCACGTAGACTTCTAGTAATTTCCCCTGGTCTTTTGGTAGTAATATCGGACGCCCGTGTGCATTCTTGCGCACATAAAAAATCCCTTAGCAGTTGGACATCGAAAAGAGTAGCCTAACGGCGCTACCCAGGCAAAATTTGGAGTTGAAAATTTACACAAAGTAGTTCAGGATCTCGCCGACGGAGTTCGTGCACTGCGGTGAGAACCTTCGGACTCAGGCTTGAGTTAGAAGTAGAATGGAGAACTTAACGGTTACTACCCTTGTGCCATGACGTTGATACGTTGTTCAAACAATAAAAATTATAATTGTTTTGCTAATTAATGCATTAGATTCTTAGTTTTTGCTGTAACTGCTACACGGACGCCATGTTTGTTTATCTGGTCTGCTATTATTATAGCCCGCACACTTTCCACAACATAGGGACACGTCAAGGTAGGTCTGTGACAAGTGTCGGTCCCCGTTTTAGGCGACCAGTTAGCTCATTGTTTCGCCGGTAGACGACTTCGTCGCCGATCGGGACAGTTTTTGGGTCTGTGTCCTCTGATCGCATCAACACTGCAGGAATCCTTTTGCCTTTCAGGGCTCTTGCGTTGCTCAGCAAGTTGCTGGTGAGCAATTCTTCTACTTCTCTTCCACTATTTGCCTCAGGGAGGTGTTGGGGGAAGATGTAAAGATCGGCTATCCTCCGAATAACGGTCCTTAATTATTGAGGCCGAAAATATACCCTTACAGGGCCTCAGTCACATGTCAGTTGCGGACTTCCGGGGACTATATCGCCACCGCCGAGAGTATCTTACACGTAGGCATCACTTCAACATATGCCGGTGTGTTTGGAAATGAGCAGGCAGATAGACTGTCTGGCTCTGTACCACTTGGTGGTGAACTGATGAATGACAAGTTAGATATTGTGAAGGCCCTTTGGGAGCGAGTGAACAGTGCGGAGGCGCATATAGATCATCACAGTCTAAGATAAATGGCACTGCGAGGAGTTACCAGGGGATTTGGCCGATGCTTAACACTCAGGGGAAGGATAAGTGGGATATACAATTATACGGTTACTGGTACCATTGGAATCGGAACTCTTTGCTTGCTGCTGAAGATGGGAGACTAAGCACTTATATGTGTGTCCCGAATGCTCTGATGTTGATTCTTAATTCAACATTCAACATAAAAGAGAGTCAGGCCAAGTATTGGGACATCTAGTGCCCTTGTTACAGTATAAGACAATCCTAATTAACCCAGAGAAACGTCTTGTATGAAGCATGTTTAGTCAACTCTATGATACCAGTGCCAGAGATGGTTGCTCTCAACAAACCAGAACAGAAAATGAGTAACCACAGGGATGGGATGTCTGAGAAAGTCTTCCGAAGTGACTAAGAGAGATCAAATCAGAAATAAGGTCATAAGACAAAAGGTTCAATTCTAAATTACATACAAAGACAGCAGACGGAGTGGTTTGTCTACTTGGAGAGAATGCCTTACAATGCCACACCATACAGGGCAGACACCAACAGGAGGAGAAGAGAGCACTAGGTAGACCAAGAACAAGATGTAAAGATAACGTTACTGAGACTACTACAGCATGAAATGTCTGTGGTCGAGGTGGTCCAGAGAGCAAGAAGTAGAACCTTATATTATCTTTCTTGACATCCGAAGCGGTAAAAGTGGAAGTGAACAAGAAGAAGTCAAAACAATTTGACAAAACTCATTATTTAGCTGAATTTTATTTATTTTAATATTAAACACTAAGCAGGAAAAAAATGAATCCAAAGAGAATGTTAAAACTTGCAGTACTGATAAATTTCAGACTGGCATTTTCATAGATTGGGCTCTTGTGTTTGTTCTTTTATGTGAAAAGGTTTGATCGCTTAGATAAAAGTTGATTGTTTTCAGGAACACAGTCACATTCATTAATAGACAGGTCACATCTTTCATAAGTAAATTAATTGGGATATTGCAACCTAGCTGTAAACCACAACATATAAAGCCAGCCGCCAGCTTAAGGGTAAACACAGAGAAGAAATGAATTGATTATTAAAAAAAAATTTGTAACTGGTTATTCTTTTAAATGTTGATAATTCGACTTATGATTATAAAGTATACAAAATATATTAAATTTCTGCAGTTTTCACATTTTAGATATTTGGGTCGCTATTTATTTTCAGACTCCAAGGAAGTCTAATTTGTTGCGCACCTGTTTGAAAAAAAAATCATTAATTTTTTTAGTTTTCTTGACATGTTTTCTTGTAAACGTATTTTGTTTTTTAACTTCCAGAAATTATTTATAAAAAAAAACAACATCTGTTACAGATCTCACCAATTTGTTCAGAAGTGTTTCTACCAGTGATAGAGTCAGGAAGCAAGCAGCATTTTCTCAGCAATTTCACAAGATTGGTCGTAGGAGGCTACTTTTTGGGTTTTACCATTTCTCTTAGAAAATTGCTCATGGTGCTTTATGAATCATGTCTCAGCAGATCACCTCAAAAGTTGTTTCCTTGCCCAGTGACATCTCCAAGCCACCACTATGAGTGTTTTCTAAGTGTATAAAGCCTTTGTAAATTATTTTTACCCCGTCAAAAGTACATGATTAGATGAGTTAACAGTGTTGCTGGCTCTGATGGCTGTTAATGTGAAACTAAACGTCCTCATTATGGTATTGATAATATTGGCTGCGATCATTTCTCTGTGTGACGGAGTGACTCAGTTTCATTATAAACACTACACCTACAGGAAGAAACGGGACGACAGGCGCTACAAATCTGCCAGACAGCGATGCGAGATGGATGCAGATTGTCAAGGTCTGTGGGGTTTGTCACAGACCAAGTGTGTACGAAAGTGTATGTCCGAGTTCTGCTACAGCGAGCTCTATGGTGATGATGAGCTCGAGGAAGGGGAGATAGATGTTCGGTTAAATTCATTTAAAGGCTGTCTGAGCCAGGTGAAAATGGAAGACTTCTGATAATGTGTTGGTATGTATCTGTTTTAGAGCATCATTTTGCCAGTTCTTCTTTATGGAGCAGAATGCTGGAGAATGACCAAAAAGGATGCACACAAGCTGTCCACCTTCCACCACACATGTCTACGTAGAATTATCAACATTTTCTGGCCAGATACAATCTCAAACACTAAACTACTTCAAGTCACAAACTGAGAAACTTTAGTCAGTATGATAACCAAGTGAAGATGGAAATGGCTTGGCCACATTATGAGAATGAATCCTGATATACCTGTCAAAACAGCTCTCACATGGACACCAGAGGGAAAGAGAAAGAAGCGCGGCATCTTTGACACGGAAAACTGCACTGAAGATTGCACAGGATAGGAAAGCATGGAAAGTCCTCTCTAAAGCCTCATGTGCCACTAGGCATAACGAGAGCTGATGTATCTGTTTACTTAGGGAAAACCACCATGGACATAGTTTCTTGTAAACTAAGACATTTCAGCCATGTTACATGCCATGATGGTTTGGAGATAACAGTAATGGAAAGTTTTGTTTCTGCAAATTGAGGCAGGGTTCTACCAGCACATTGTGGTCAGAGGATATCATGGATTCTGTGTTGAGTTGAGTCAAGAATTGACGTCACAGCACTCGGGGCATTCCCATGCATGCTCTGTCCTCATCTTCAACAGCCAGCGTAGAATTCCAAAACTGATGGTACTGATCACAATCTGGTTATATGCTATGATTATATGTTGTGGTTTTATATCTGTGTATGAAAGTTCATGAGGTGGGAAATTATGACAGGGCTCTAGGTTTCTGTCGTTCTGGCTTGCAGTGTTGAGCAAAGAAAGAACCTGCTTAATGGCGATAAGGTAAATGTTTATATTGCTACTGGAACCGAACCTCATTGTCGTGAGTGGCTCACTCTTTATAAAGTGAAGAGTCTAGGGCTGTTGCTGGTGTTTCATCACAAACGACAAGATTAATACTTAATTACAAGCATTGTCATGAGGTTGTCACGCTGAGCTGCGTGTGTGTGTTGCTTACCCAACCATCACCACAGAAAGTGGCTGTGACCCTCTTAGTGACACAGCTAACCAGATGTTCAGTCCTTGAATGAAGATCATCGCACCACAGCCTTCATAGAGGCCTGTGGCCCTTCTCATCTGAAAAAGCACTGGCAGGGAGAATAAAAGGCAAGAAGAGTAATCTGTCTTGGTTGGCCAGACCAGCACCCGTGTTCAGGATGATTGAATGGGAGCAGGTGAAGATACACATTCTTGTCATGGCCCAACAACATCCCACTCTCTTATGATACGTGTGTTTTAAGATGATTCTAAAGCAGAGGCTGTTTTGTGTTCTGGCATGGCACTGCTGAAGCTGCATTTCAGATAGGTTGGTCAATTTCATTTATTGTGAGAGTAAAGGACCCTTTTCCCCTACGCCATTACGTGTATTTGGTATATAGTGCTAGACCTGTATTTTATAGGCTGCATTTACTTCCCGGGACTGTTTCTGTTACCAGTTTTAGGCTTGATCAACCTGGGAGCCAAGGTAATTTTTGAAAAGAAAAAAAAAAGATCCGGCCTAATGTGGAAAACAAAGAAGACATGGTGTGCTGGAACACAGATGTTTCCCTGCATCTTGGCACCAGAAAATGTTGAGCGGGCACTCCAAGACTATGCTACTAACAGACAGGCATTCTGGCCTATTCCAGCCTCAATGAAGACAAAGCTGTACGGTACATGGGGAGTCACAACTATGATGCAGAAGTTCAAGCCATCAAGATAGCGGTAGAGAAACTACTAAATACAGGGTATTTTTCACAACCAGTGGTATTCCTGACAGATGCAAAAGCAGTACTTCAGTCACTCCAGTCTGGAAAATTACCAAGCATACGGACACTATTATCCTAACTAGGCAACCGCTGTAAATTAGTAATGCAGTGGATACCTTCCCACTGTGGAGTTCCCGGAAACGAAAAAGCTGATAAACTAGCTAAGGAAGGTGCAACTGAAGAACAACCTGACATACCAGTCTCTTATCAACAGAAGAAGAGAATGATCAAATCAATCAGAATGCCACCGAAACTGGCACAAGATGATTACCATATTATGGACAGACCAGAGCAAGTCATTATCCTTCGCCTTAGAACAGGGCACAATCGACTTCGCTCCCACATGTACAACAAATTTAAGATTGGCCAATCAGCCTTGTGTACTTGTGGACTGGCACCCGAAACAACAGATCACATCCTTCAAGACTGTCCCAGATTCAACGCTTTCAGGCAAAACCTTTGGCCAAAAGAGACACTTGTGGAAGTCAAACTTTACGGGCCGCTTAGTGAATTACAAAAGACAGTGAAATTCATACTAGAGACGGCTTTGCAGATATAGACAATTTATTTCATGCAAACGAAAGAAGAAGAAGAAGGTACATGGGGAAAAACGGACTGCACCATAGCTTTCATCACAGCTGCGGGCTTCCTGGTATACATTTTCCTGACAGATGGATCGTCGAAGAAGAAGAAGAAGTTTGGTACAGAGTTTGCTGACATTATAACTGAACCAAACAGTTGCTGACTATTGCACATCTGTCTGTTGAATACTCACAAAGATATTCTATTTGAGATATGGTTATGATGTCTCATTGTTGTCACTTGTTTCAACTGTTAAATCTGCTGCGGACATGTGATATGTTGTATGCCTCTACCAACAATACTGCTGGGGCCCCGAGTCACTGTAGATTTAATAAGAGGAAATAGCACTCACGGAATATTATGGTTACTGTGCATTTCCTGAGAGGAATCGCAGCGCCCATGGAATGATCAAAGAGAGCTGCCAGCTATTGTTCCTAAGAATTTTTGTTTTGTTTCTGGCGAGACACTGTGGTACACAGTACCTGGCACCTTTTTTTTTTTTCTTCAGTTTATTGTGCAATAAATTGTGTTCTCATTCTGTAAATTCAGATTGGAAAACAGTTTTGTATTCTTCTTTCAATTGTCTAGCTGTGGCTTAGTAATTGTATTTAACAGTCTTATGATCCTTAAGTGCTAAGGTTAGATTTCTGCAGAACAAAAAAAAACAAAAAAAACAACTCCAACAAAAGCTCAAGAGTTGCACCGTAGAAGAAACCAGGGCCTCATTGTGCAACATTTCCAAAGACGGCCACGGACAAACTAGAATCAACAATTTTTCGTGGAGACAGCCCATAATTTAAAATTAAAAAAAAAAAAAAACTCTTCTGCATGTAAAAGATTGTGCTCAGATGGTTAATTTCTTTAGGTCTAAACCTTTGCCTTCAACCTTTAGGGGGAGATATAACAGTTTTCTTTCAGAAGCTCAAAGTTTTGATTTGAACTGAGTGGAGCATGTGTTTATGTTTGTACAGCATACCCTGGATAGAATCTGCCATGGAAACTGAAGTTACTCTGAGAAAAATCTGTATCACTCTTACCTCAATAAAAGACAATCCTTTTCAGAACTTGGGTCTCCCCGTGTGGGTTCGGGGGCCCTATTATATAGGGAAAACAAGAATAGACCCACTGCCTACCCAGAAGCAACTGAGTCAGATCAGTAAAATGGATGCACACGCAACACAAACATATTTTTCCGCTTATAAAATAGGGTTTCCCAATTTTTGGGGGTAACTGTGGTCTAGCGGCTAGATGCTCGCCTGGGGATCAGAAGGTTGGGGGTTTCCTCCCTGGCGAAGCCAGACATGAAAAAAAATTACCTTGGCTTCCAGGTCAACCCAGCCTTGAGTGGGTACCGGGTGCAGTCCTGGGAAGTAAAGGCGGCTGGCGTGATGCTGACCACATCACTCATCTTATGCCGTTGGTCTATAAAATATAGATCTAGCCCTATATACCCAATACCCCTCAAAGACTTGGAAAATAGTTCTTTATAAAAGGCAATATGGTTTTGATGAAATCAAATATTTCTGCCAAAATGTACAAATGTTGCAGCAGCCCAGCTGTGAGCCAGATCACATTGTGCCAGTCGTCCTTTTTTTCTTTTGGAGAGCAATCAAAGAAGTAAATAATCATTTAGTTGCCCCTGTTTGAACCTCAGATTTGGACTGGCAGTTGTGTGGAGCATGACGACCTAGCTAATGGCCACTGTGTGCGGATGCCATGCACAGGTCTTAAGGCAGACAAGTGACCAAGGAAGACGGAGAACAACCCGAAAACACACGAAAGGAAAGGAGACACCATTTCAATTTTTCACCTCGTCTTTTATTCATTTTTAAAACATTACAAGATGCTGATTAATCTGTGACTACACAGGCCCACTGAAACATTTTGTAGGCGTTAGCTCGCAGGCATTCACAAACCTTGGTGTTTTATTCACTCACTAGTTTTCGAGGTATAAGGCATGCAACAATGAAGTGTATTAATACGTATGTTACTTTAGACAAGAAGACAACATTCATCTTAAAAACTGAAACACGTACATCTTAAATTTATGACTTTTAAAAAATAAAAAATAATTCCTGTGTGAAATGTCAAAAGTTGCTGTGTAAAATAAAATGTTGCTCCAACTTCGATTCAGATGGGCCACTCCATAACCACTCTCTTCCTAAGCCAGTAAAAGTAAAGATCCATTTTTACACTTTAGGCGCATCGGGCATATGGGAAGAGCACCCACATTTGTACAGACCATGGCACTAGACTGGTAATGTGGTCAGCATTACTCCGGCAGTCGTTACTTCCACAGGACAGCCATCCTGGTACCCATTTCAGGCTGGGTCGACCTGTGACGCCCCATACCATGAGAAAAATCCACACAGCCAGCTATTGATCGCGATACATTGGAATTCTGAGTTGGGACTCGCAATGCCTAAGCCTCGGACACCACTTTCCTATGCCAGTGGCAATCACAAAATGGTTTTCACTGTCCAGTTTGAAAAGTAGTTAAAAACATCTCAGCCCGACCAAAATATTGACGCTCACACATGCAAAGTATATGCATAAGGCAGACATCAGATCTGCCAACACTAACAGTTCCACACCAGATTTGTAGCTCACTGTTTATGCAAGCAGTCATTTACAAAAGCCGGCAAATGTAAAATGAGTTTGGTCGACTCTAATGTAAATTATGACCCAGCACAAACAGACATTTTCTGAGTGCTATAGTATCGGTGTTGGTCGACACTAACAGTGCACAGTGACGAGAACAAAATTTAAACTGTTTAAACAAAAAATGCATTTATCTTTTAAAAAAAAAAGTTTACTGCACTTGTTAGTACAGAGGTTTCCCAAATAGTGAACACCTGTAGAACCGTTTTAGTTTTAAAAGGTTTTTAACAGACCTCATACTTTTTTTAATAGTCATACTGAAGAAATTATCATTTTCAAATGCTAGAACAGTGAAAAACGATTGCTTTCTAATGTGTATAGGACTGATGTCTAAAACTGAACATTTTGGGGGGTTTTGTAAATGCTGTGAGAAAAAGAAAGGGAAAAAAATATATGTGCGATCTTCATAGTGAATTTAGTGTACCACAGTCCTCTGGAAACATTATGTAATAAGACCCCAATCTCTTCCACAGCAACACTCTCATACCAATGTCTGTAAACCACAAGAATAAATTTTTTTTTTAAAACAATCTTAACGTTGGGGAACAAACCCTACTGCTTAGAATCATGAAACATTGCCTAACCTTGAAGCCACACAAATGATATTGTGGCCCCCCTTAACTCTTTCAGTCCTGAGAAAGGTACCATGTGTTGGCTGTTCATGTGTATTAAACATCACTCGGTATGTTCACATATTCTTTACACCCGGTCTGAATATACACAAGAAAAATGGGTGTTCTACCATGGCCCATTAATACTCTTTGAGTCCCAAGGAACGCCTCATATGTTCATAGATTCCTACCTAGAAGTCCAATGAATGCATGATGCGCAGATTTTACGTCTCTTTTGAGTCCCAAGGAACGCATCATATGTTCATAGATTCCTACCTAGAAGTCCAATGAACGCAAGATGCGCAGATTTTACGTCTCTTTTGAGTCCCAAGGAACGCCTCATATGTTCATAGATTCCTACCTAGAAGTCCAATGAACGCAAGATGCGCAGATTTTACGTCTCTTTTGAGTCCCAAGGAACGCCTCATATGTTCATAGATTCCTACCTAGAAGTCCAATGAATGCATGATGCGCAGATTTTACGTCTCTTTTGAGTCCCAAGGAACGCATCATATGTTCATAGATTCCTACCTAGAAGTCCAATGAACGCAAGATGCGCAGATTTTTTGTCTCTCTTGACTACCCCTTGGGCCTGTGATGCTAAACCCCCTGGAACTCATAGAGTTAATGTACACCACTGAAACTAACCTGCGTTTTTTCGTAATTGTTTTTGCCTTCTTGGGAATGTGGTAATACACCTGGGAAGGAATACAAATGGGAAGGAATACAACTGGGAAAGAATACACCTAGGAAGGCTTAGTAGTGGCCTGCGAATCATTGCCAGTTGTACTGTGTTAATGATCTTTTAATGCTCGGGCTGGGGCTTCTGGCCCGTGACGATCCCCAGTCTCAAAATGTTGGCCCCTGAGGAAACTTTGCTGAACAGCCCTGATCTAGAGAAGGACACCCTATACCATCGGTGGGTGTTCACCTGCCGAAACAATTCAGCCATCAGAAGTTTGTTTGGAAATAAAATGCCAACATAAGAATACAAACTCAGGTTACATTACACAGCTTAATGTGTTGTTCATTTAAAAAGAAAAAGGAACACAAACAAATATTTATTATTAGCACATTATTAAATGAACATTGCCCACAATTTTGTGGGGTTTCTGGCAGTAAACAAATTATCGCGTAAAAAGCTCTTTTTTTTTTCTGCTTTGGATACAAAGACTGCACCACACAAACTTAACAACAGATTTTAAAATCGGAAAAGAAACGACATCACGTGTAAGAACAAAAATGTCAAAAGTTCACAACATACAAGGTTACTCAGAGAAAGTTATGCCAAGGTTCACTGTCAGCATGACTATTAACAGTAGCAGGAAATGTTAAACGGGATCATCGTCCGACAGTGTCTCGTACTGAGCTGAAAGTAGCGGTGCCGGTTCCTGGTCTCTGGAACACAAGGTGGTCTGGTCTGGGTCCCTCATCATGCTAGACACAACTGGCTGGCTGGAAGGGTAAGGCAGGCTGCCCGACACCGATGGGGAAGGACCACCGTGGCTCTCCGTGTGGTCTGAGCTGGAGATGGACCTGCTGCTGGCCTCTTCACTCATACCAGAGTCCGGTCCAGGACGTGAGGATCTCCACTGCTGGCCGTAAGCCAGAGAGTCGGACCCAGCGTCACCAGAACTATGGCCCAGCTCCAAGCCTGAAAGAGCCTCGCTGGATCCGCTCTGGGACGTACTGTCCAGTCCGCCTGATCTTGCAACTGCCCGCTGCTTTGGTGGCTTGGAGCGGTCAGCAGACGTGGAACTATCAACACCTTCCCCTTCTTCTCCAGACTTGTCAGGTCTTGTGCTGTCAACAGAAGAATGCAGCCCAGATCCAGCGTCTGCCTCAATGCTATTCACACGACTGCTGTAACGAGACCTTGGTTTGGATGACCCCTCTGACTGTCCTGCAGAAAATGTTTCATATCCTTGAGCTTCGTTCTCTCCTGTCTTGCCATCATCTCCTGCTCCTTGGGTATCTGGTCCAGGCCAGAAAGTCTTCCCTTCAGAACTATCCACAGGACACTTCCTTGCCCCTCGGCTTGAGGCAGACAGCGCCATGTAGGAGCTAGGAGAAGGTCCAACGGGTTCATCGTCTGGACTGTCGTCTGGGAAATCGTAAGCTGAGAACCTTGCAGTCTTGTCACTTCCTGAGGGCTTATGTCCCATTCTCCCGGAACTTTCTGGCGGACCCGAGCTCGGGGATGGACGATCTCTGGATGATGAACTGCTGGGATGGGATGCAGAAGCTGACGAGGCAGATGACTTAGCATTGGACTGTGAAGGAACAGAGGAGGATGGTGCTACTGGGGAGATGATATCTTCTTGCCTTACTCTTGGTCGCCCTATCCCTCTTTTCCTGCCGTAGGAAGTAACGCTGGAAGAAGGAGATAGAGCCGGGTCCATGGATGTTTCTGGTGCCGGGCCACCTCGGTGGTAAGCCATTCCTGAACTATCATCTCCTTGATCTGAAGAATGAACTGAACTGACTCCGTGCTGGTCATGTGGTGCGGAGCCCGGGTACCGTCCAGTCTGTTGGTCTTGAGGCGAGGAACTGGCAGCCATCTGGGTGATCCCTTTGCCGCTTGATGAAGATAATGGTGATGGCAAAGAAGTAGCCTGACTCGAAGATGTTGGTTTGTCTCCTCGACTGACACGAAGGTGGGAGGACGATTCGTTTGTGGCATCTCGAAATGCCATCTCTATTTTGGACTGCATCATGTCGAGAGCAGACAGCCCACTGATACTCTGACTGGGTGTCTCACCAGAGTTGTGAGTAGAACCACTACTGTCAACTGTTGGAATACCTAAAAGATAACCAGACACTGTCAATACACAGCAGACTAGTTCTCAAACTTGCTCATTACAAGTGTTCTCTCATCACAATGTAGACAGACAGTAAATCCATTTATGGTATAACCGTTTGTGGCTTCTTCAATTAACAACTCTTCAAATCATAGACCCACCCACAGGTGACTCCCATACACAACTCTTCAGGTCAAAGACCCACCTACAGGTGACTCTCATACACAACTCAAGTCAAAGACTCACCTACAGGTAACTCCCACATACGACAACTCTTCAAGTCAAAGACTCCCACACAAATCTTCAAGTCAAAGACTCCCACACAAATCTTCAAGTCAAAGACCCACACAAATCTTCAAGTCAAAGACCCACACAAATCTTCAAGTCAAATACTCGCACACAAATCTTCAAGTCAAAGACACCCACACAAATCTTCAAGTCAAAGACTCCCACACAAATCTTCAAGTCAAAGATCCAATCGCAAGGGACTCCCATACACAACTATTCAAGTCAAAGACCCACCCGCAAGTGACTCCTATTCACAACAACTTTTCAACTCACAGACCCACCTACAAGTGACTCCCACATATAAAAACTCTAAAAGTCATAGACCCACCTATATGTGGCTCCCACATCGCGTATAAAAACTCTACAAAGTCACAGACCCACCTGCTGGAGGATAAGCAGCTTCAGGAAGTCCATGATGAGTGGATCCACCCTGCTGCTGCGCCGGGTTGTGGGGGCTGTGCCGCGGGTGGAAGGAGAGAAGCTGCTGCTGCCCAGGTTGAGGAGAACGCGACTGATCGGGGCCTCCTGGCCCAGCACCAGCCGGAGATGGGGCCTGCAGCTGAGAGGGGTGTGATGGGGTGAACCCTGGGTGGCTGGACTTGGGCATGCTCATGTTGGAAGATGCTGAAGATGAGGATGAGGGGGACATGGAGTCCGTCTGTCCAGGTGTAGGGGTGGTGTGGGTGGGTCGCTCTCCCATTCCATCCTGGGAGTTGAAGAGAATGAATGGCAATAAATCAGGTTATGCAATGAATCAGGTCAAAGTTCAAATATTTAGTGAAGAATATAATTATTTAGTTTTTGTTTTCTTCAAAATCGCCCCGGCATTACTGGGTCCATAAAAGAAGGCAAAGACTAACAATGGAATCTTCGTATTCAGTACTTTGAGCTTTTCAGGTTGACTGCTGCAGACATCACCCACCTTCCAATCATATCTGTGACTGGTCTTTTCTTTCCCATTAGTGTTTTTAGGTCTGCCTGTGTGTTATCTCTCCATCGTCTTCTTGCTCTGCCTCGTGGTCTGCTCTCATTTAACTCATTTGTGTATACAGTTTCCATCTCTCTTTTATTTGCCATTTTTCTATATGCCCCAGAAATTGCAGTCTAATCATATACAATCCTTCATACACACACAAGCATCTGATCATACAGTCACCCAGACGTAAAAAACACCCATACATACACAAACATCTAATCAAACACACCCAATATATCCACAGACATACCCATACAACTCCATACATACATAAACAGAAGAATCTGTTTATACAGTCACCCATGCATATGCTATCACCCATACATATACATGCACTTAATCATACACAATCACCTATGCATTCACAATCACCCATACATACACAATCACCCATGCATACACAATCACCCATGCAAACACAATCACCCATACATACACAATCACCTATGCATACACAATCACCCATACATACACGATCACCCATACATACAACCAACAGTCTGCACACAAATTAGCCAGATCTGTAAAAAGTACGTGCAAGATAAACTCAAGTTCCGGAACAAGACTAAAATCCAGAAGTGGATGAACATCCGGAACCTGCTACCTGAGTTTCCAGCTAATGAACACTAGGACAATGGATATACAGTTTGAAATCCTGGCAATAATTCTCAATGTTGAATGCTGAATTAAGAATCAACATCACAGCACTCAGGACACCCCATAAGTGCTCAGTCTACATCTTCAGCAGCAGGTGAAGAGTTCCAATTCCGATGGTACCAGTTACCGTCTGACTGTATATCTGTCTCATCCCTCCCCTGAGTGTTGAGCGTCGGCCAGATCCCCTGGTAAATCCTTGCAGCACCATTCTAATTCTCAAAGACCTACATGCTTTACCTGCCAAAGGTAGGTAAAGCAGCCTTCACTTTAAAAAAAAAAACAACTAAAGTCATGGTATGGTAGGAATATTGTCAGCCTGAGCCAGAATACCTGGGACAAAGACCTGTTCAACAGACCATGTGGCAAAGTGCATAACAATAATGTTCTAAGAGCAGTCCAGATGGGGAACATTTCGGTTATTTTTTGAGATCTCACACACTACTGTTAGAAACTCAAACAAGAAAGTTTTACCCATTTCTTCCAGTTGGGTGATGGGCCTTGACTGGTGGGAACACTATAACTGCGGGGCCGTGAGTCCGAGGTCGAACCCACCAAGCCAGGCTCAGAGGTGGCCGGGCTACCTTGCTGTGGCTGCACATCCATTGCTTCGTGGAAGTCCCTTGAGCTGTTGGCTGTGGAGAAATAAAATGACATTACATCATAGCCTGGCCCCAGCAGCTTTCTTTGGCATGATTCCCACACACATATTTTAGCTGATCAGGGAACGAATTGTCTGGTAGTCTTAGTTTCAGCTTCATAGCAAATGGGTCACCCCATCTTTGCTCCGATCCTGTGCCAACAAAAAACACACAGAATGTTTATCACACCACCACGTTGGTCACCGTCGGAAAAACATTCCAAATGAAATCCGCAGCTCACAGTGTCAAGCCATGCATTCAACTCAAAAGCTGGGCCACAAAACTATATCCAGTCTACAAATTGAGCAAAAATGCATCGGCCACCATCCGGCAGAGCAAAAAATTTGTCTCGGCTTCAAACAGTGCCCCTGCCTAGCGTCCATTTTGACCAGAAATCCCGGGTAAATACTTGTACAATGATATAGTCTGTAACAAAGATAATTTACTTTGCACAACTCTACAAAGGGAACAAATAAAGATATTTTTCTTCTTTAGTGCCCTTAAACTGTGTTGTGATTTACAGCTAGGTTGCAATATCTGCCCCTTGCAGCCCAACACATCCAATTTCAATAAACTCCTTATTGTTACTTGTAAGGAGGTATAATAAAAATGTCTACGACCGTTACACCTCTCTAAAATAAACAAACAAATCTAGGAAAGGTGTAACTGGTTCGTAATCCTCTCATCCCCGAAACTCTTTGGAGAAAAAAGCCAAGAATCTGTGAAGTTGATAAAATAACCTTTAAAATACAAAAGTCACTAATAAATTTGTGTAACAAATTGTTGATACATATTTATATTTAAAAAGAAAAGAAAAGAAGTATAGGAAGAGGAGTAAATATTAAACACAAGTTTATTGCAGAGAATGAGACGATTACAAAAATTATTCTTTGATCACAAAGGTTATTCTTGATGTTATTGCTCCATCTTTAGCATGGTCTTCCCTTTGCCCTGTGCTCATTATATTTCTTCAATATAGTCCTCTGTAGTACTGGGGCATTCTAGTCAGATGGCTGAACCATTTCATGTTTTTCCCCCTAATGTCAGTCCTAGTTTTCTTCTATTTTACTCACTGATAATTTTCTCTATTACTCTAGCAGCTCTTGTAAGCAGAGTTTGTTTCTCTAGAAACAAAAGGTGCCAGTACTCACCACAAACCATTTAAAAAGGTTCCGGTACTCACCACAAAGTTCTATTATAGCCGTGCTGAAAAAAAAAAGGGAGGGGGGTACTGCATACCACAATAAATACAGCCCTCGTTGTAAGATATCTCATCTCTGTTGCTTAAAGTAAAGGTTCAACATCAGAAGGAGACAAACCGGGAAGGCTAACCCGGTCAACAAATGCCCGCAGAAGTCGGATGTGTTGGCCGAAAGGTGCAAATATCGCAGCCATGCTGTAAACGGACACAACGCAATTACATCTTCGGATGAACGCAGAAGAAGAAGAAGAAGAAGAAGAAGAAGAAGGTAGACAATCTTCACTGCTTAGGTCATGTGAGGGAGATGGAGAAAATTGGCGCAAATCATGAAGGTAAGAAAGCTGAAGGGGTAAAAGCGGCAGAGGGAGACCGAGAGAGAAGATGCTGGACAATATGACAAAAAAATCTATGTCAGAACTGACTGAAAGTACACGAGGCAGAAGGTTGTGGATAAGACATGACTACCGATGCCACATGGCATGGACTATAAGAAGACAGGTCCAAGTTTTAAAAGCAAAATACTTACAACTCATGACACTGGTGTTCTGAATACGTGAGATCAAACCAAGTCCCTTATCTAAAGGTAGCTGCAAGCCTGACGCATGAGGATTGCTGCTGTCATAATCCTTGATGATAATGGCATCGATGTGGTCGCCCAGCGTCATGGTCGCCTCCTGCGGGAACTTCAAACTGTTGCCTCCTGAGGCTGAACTGGCGGAGCCCGGAGACGAGGACTGACTTCCTGGCTGCTGGGATCCATGTCCCCGCGGTTCAAGGTCGCTACTGGACATACGCAAACGCTGATCCACTTTGGCGGGGTCTGCAGCAACTTCCTGACTCCTGACCCGGCCAACCATCTCTGGTCTTCCTCGGCTTTCATGATCTGGCTGTCCATCTGTCGGTTCTCTCTGAAAAAAGAATTTGTAATCCAAAATCAAGGTATTTCCTCAAGCATGTTGCAGACGATGACTAACTGGGGGCATCCTTGGAAGTTGAAGTACCTCTGCTTGAGAGGCAAGAACCAAGAGTCTGCACATAAAATGTAACTGTGAAACAGATGTGCATACAACAGTCAGGTTCTAGAATAAGATTAAAGTCCTGAAGTGGACGAACGAGCACAACTTCCTGCTGAAGTTTACAGCCAGGTAACGCAAAGAAGAGGAGGAAGATACTAGGATAGGTTCTGAATAGTCTGATCAACACATTTTAGCAACATACACTAGTAGAATGTGAGGTGTCTGATCATACATACTTTAGCAACATACACTGGTAGAATGTGAGGTGTCTGATCACACATACTTTAGCAACATACACTGGTAGAATGTGAGGTGTCTGATCACACATACTTTAGCAACATACACTGGTAGAATGTGAGGTGTCTGATCATACATACTTTAGCAACATACACTAGTAGAATGTGAGGTGTCTGATCATACATACTTTAGCAACATACACTGGTAGAATGTGAGGTGTCTGATCATACATACTTTAGCAACATACACTAGTAGAATGTGAGGTGTCTGATCATACATACTTTAGCAACATACACTGGTAGAATGTGAGGTGTCTGATCATACATACTTTAGCAACATACACTGGTAGAATGTGAGGTGTCTGATCACACATACTTTAGCAACATACACTGGTAGAATGTGAGGTGTCTGATCACACATACTTTAGCAACATACACTGGTAGAAAGTGAGGTGTCTGATCACACATACTTTAGCAACATACACTGGTAGAATGTGAGGTGTCTGATCATACATACTTTAGCAACATACACTGGTGGAATGTGAGGTGTCTGATCACACATACTTTAGCAACATTCACTGGTAGAAAGTGAGGTGTCTGATCACACATACTTTAGCAACATTCACTGGTTAAATGTGAGGTGTCTGATCACACATACTTTAGCAACATACACTGGTTAAATGTGAGGTGTCTGATCACACATACTTTAGCAACATTCACTGGTTAAATGTGAGGTGTCTGATCACACATACTTTAGCAACATACACTGGTTAAATGTGAGGTGTCTGATCACACATACTTTAGCAACATTCACTGGTAGAAAGTGAGGTGTCTGATCACACATACTTTAGCAACATACACTGGTAGAATGTGAGGTGTCTGATCATACATACTTTAGCAACATTCACTGGTAGAATGTGAGGTGTCTGATCACACATACTTTAGCAACATACACTGGTAGAATGTGAGGTGTCTGCTCATACATACTTTAGCAACATACACTGGTAGAATGTGAGGTGTCTGATCACACAACAGCCACATACACAGTTATGGTATGAGGTGTCTGATAACAAACACTCATTATCAACAATCAGTAGGTCCTACACAGAACGTCACTCTCTTCCCAACACACCTAAAGCAGACTTCATAAGGCCCATTTACTTTTTGTAAATTACTCCAGCCATCTCAGAAAACTTTAAAATATATACACCTTTTAAATATATGGATGGAAATGTATAATTTTTAGTTACAAAAAATTATAATAATAAAGAATGGGTCTGGAAAAGCAAAATATATTATACAATCGCCTCAAAGGCTCTGTTAAGAGAGAATTTCATTTTGAACAAGAATTATGAGGCCCTACACTGCAGCATAGTCAGCTTTATGAGGCTCTACGCTGCAGCACAGTTAGCTTTATGAGGCTCTACGCTGCAGCACAGTTAGCTTTATGAGGCTCTACACTGCAGCACAGTCAGCTTTATGAGGCCCTACACTGCAGCACAGTCAGCTTTATGAGGCCCTACGCTGCAGCACAGTCAGCTTTATGAGGCCCTACGCTGCAGCACAGTTAGCTTTATGAGGCCCTACACTGCAGCATAGTTAGCTTTAGGAGGCCCTACGCTGCAGCACAGTTAGCTTTATGAGGCCCTACGCTGCAGCACAGTTAGCTTTATGAGGCCCTACGCTGCAGCACAGTTAGCTTTATGAAGCCCTACGCTGCAGCATAGTTAGCTTTATAAAGCCCTTCACTGCAGCATAGTTAGCTTTATAAAGCCCTTCACTGCAGCACAGTTAGCTTTATAAAGCCCTATGCTGCAGCACAGTTAGCTTTATAAAGCCCTACGCTGCAGCATAGTTAGCTTTATAAAGCCCTACGCTGCAGCACAGTTAGCTTTATGAGGCCCTACGCTGCAGCACAGTCAGCTTTATGAGGCCCTACGCTGCAGCACAGTCAGCTTTATGAAGCCCTACGCTGCAGCACAGTTAGCTTTATGAAGCTCTACGCTGCAGCATAGTTAGCTTATGTCTCAATCACTGTCTAAATGTCTCTCTTCCTACAGGCAATTCTCCAGCCCCATGTGCAGCATCTTTAATGTCCCATTTCCACATTTACGGAGGCCTGCCTCTGCATGGTTTCCCAGAACATGTACCCTCCATCACCATCACTCCAGACGACCATGACCTTTAACGTGGCCAAAAATCCTCAGCTTCTGGGACAAGATGCAGTTTATAAGCCAATTCTCTTCAATGCTACGATCATGTAGATGTTATGGTTTGAGGTATCTAATAACACACACACTGGTATGACTGTCAAATGTATACATTATGATGTATGTACTTCCTCTTATGCATTCACTTTTCAGTGGACGGCTGGCATGTCTTATTGCAGTTTACAGCTAAGCCGTGATATATGAGCCTTTCTGCCCAACACACCCCCACCCTCCCGCACCTGGAACCCCTATGAGAAAACATTAATTTTGTCCACTGTCAGCTGTGTTCTGTAAAGAATATACATTATGAAGCCATACAAAATCAACTTTACATGCAGACACAGCCACATATGTGGTCAGCTATATATGCCCTCAAGGGCACCTGTAGAACTTTTTAGAATTGTAAGTCTATGATTTTACCTGTTGTCAACTCTAACCCAATGACTCCAGCTATGGTCAAATCTATATACTTATAACACTATGAATGGACCTGTGGTCGGTTCTTTATACCTGAAAAATTTTTAATATACCTGTGGTAAGTTCTGTACATCTTTAACTTTACGACTGTATCTAAGGTCCACTCTATATTCAACAGCAAGACAGTACCTGTATATGTCTCTGATCCACCTGAGCCTGGGCTGCAGCAGCAGCCATAAACCTCATCTTGGGATGATGCTGTTGCCTGTAAGCCATCTCCTGCTGCTGTTGTTGCTGCTGTTGCTGCTGCTGTTGTTGCTGCTGTTGCCGCTGCTTCTGTTCCATATCTAATCTTCTCTGCTCCATCTCTGATTCCTGTTGTCTTGCTTCCATCTCTCTTTGTGCTGACTCACTTCTTCTGACTATCTCCATCTCTGTAGAGAACAATCAACAATGGGAAACGATCTTCAATGCAGCATTCAAGAACTTAATTATGAATTCCCCACCCCCTCCATGCTACCTCCCCCCTCAACAAAACCTTATCCCGGAAGGTATACATTTAACTTTAACAACCTGGATATTTTATTTCCTGGCAAACATTTGGCTTCTCAGGGTCAAAAGGTTAATTTAGAGTTGAGAGTTTAAGCTGTGAGGTAAGCTGTGAGGTAAGTTGAGAGGTAATTGAGAGGTAATTGTGAGGTAAGTTAAGAAATAAGCTGTGAGGTAAGTTGAGAGGTAAGCTGTGAGGTAAGTTGAGAGGTAAGTCGTGAGGTAAGTTAAAAGATAAGCTGTGAGGTAATTTGAGTGGTAAGTTGTAAGGTAAGTTGTGAGGTAAGCTGTGAGGTAAGTTGAGAGGTAAGCTGAGAGGTAAGCTGTGAGGTAAGTTGAGAGGTAAGTTGTGAGGTAAGATGTGATGTAAGTTGTGAGGTAAGTTGATAAGTAAGTTGAGAGGTAAGTTGAGAGGTAATTTGAGAGGTAAGTTGTGAGGTAAGCTGTGAGGTAATTTGAGAGGTAAGTTGAGAGGTAAGTTGTGAGGTAAGCTGTGAGGTAAGTTGAGAGGTAAGTCGTGAGGTAAGTTAAAAGATAAGCTGTGAGGTAATTTGAGAGGTAAGTTGTAAGGTAAGTTGTGAGGTAAGCTGTGAGGTAAGCTGAGAGGTAAGCTGAGAGGTAAGCTGTGAGGTAAGTTGTGAGGTAAGCTGTGATGTAAGCTGAGAGGTAAGTTGAGAGGTAAGTTGACAGGTAAGTTGACAGGTAAGCTGAGAAGTAAGTTGTGAGGTAAGCTGTGGGTAAGTTGTGAGGTAAGTTGTAAGGTAAGCTGTGAGGTAAGTTGAGAGGTAAGCTGTGAGGTAATTTGAAAGGTAAGTTGTGAGGTAAGTTGAAAGGTAAGTTGTGAGGTAAGTTGAGAGGTAAGCTGAGAGGTAAGTTGTGAGGTAAGCTGTGAGGTAAGCTGTGAGGTAAGCTGAGAGGTAAGTTGTGAGGTAAGCTGTGAGGTAAGTTGAGAGGTAAGCTGAGAGGTAAGTTGTGAGGTAAGCTGAGAGGTAAGTCTCTACATCAAAATCACTGTTAATACCAGCACTCAGACAATTTGCGTGACAATGCATCAGACCCGAGTAAAAAACTACATCTTTCACAGGATTCACCGGCCAACCAGCCATCCAACACAAATGACTCCCTAGCCAATTAACCCGTCAAGACAGACATATGCAAATTCAAGCCAGCCAATAAATAGATTAACCCAGCCAGACAGCCAATCAACTTCCAGCCAGACAGCCAATCAACTTTCAGCCAGACAGCCAATCAACTTTCAGCCAGACAGCCAATCAACTTCCAGCCAGACAGCCAATCAACTTTCAGCCAGCCACTCAATCAATTTAACCAAGTCTGACAGCCGACAACTTACAACTCAACAATATCACCATGCAGCAAACTAACGAGCATGTCCTGTCCCGGAAACCAACCAATAGCCATACCTACGATGACTAAAAACATTAAGCAGAGATAGGCAAAAAACAGACAGACAGCCAATTAAATTCAAGCCAGCCAACCAATCAGGTAACCGAGCCAAACAAATTCAAACCAGCCAACCAATCAATTAACTGAGCCAGATAACCAATCAAGCAATAAACATATCACTTGCTCTCAACCCATTTCATCCTCCTGCTTCACCTACCTCTTCTATGCTGCTCCAAGTCCCCACTACCTCTCCTCTGGTCAGCTCCCTCCTGGTGCTGCCTATGATACTCCCTCTCTCCACTGATTCGCCTCTGCTCCCCCTCCTGTTGTCTCCTATACTCCAACTCCTGCCTCTGACGCTGTTCCATATCCATCCGCTGCTCATACTCCATCCTCTGTCGCTGGCGAGGATCCATAATCTGACAGATGTAGTTAAGTTTTAACATAAAATTAAATAATGTTTTTCCCCAATTTAAGTCAAGCCCTAATATCTCAACAGTAACCACAAAATACAATAAGGCTGCAATCACCAAAAAAAAAAAAACAAGGAGTAAAGGTCCTGTTTTACAGCATATATATAATAAACAAACAGACAATGTTTTGATTGGCACTCATAGAAAGAAGTAGACAGATAGTATACACTAGACAACATAACAATAGAAAGCTATAGTTATTGTGCCAGAAACTGAACCCCTCCACTCCAACTTGTGTGAATGAAACAAGTGTGCTAAGCACAAGACCAAATAGACACCTCTAGAAAAAAACAGGTGTCTTCACTGGCCATGTATATCGTACAACTTAAAATCCACAACTATGGAATACAGACAGATTCACCATCAGGTATATGGGGCTAGACTGACCTATTTATAGATCAGTGTTTCTCAACCTGTTTTGTGCCATGCCCCGCCTAAGCCTTTTAACAATTATTATGCCCCTCCTTACGTAACCTAAAATCTGGACAAGTCCATTTTCTAATGACCCCCCCCCCCCCCCCCCCCATCAAATTGAAATACAATATCAATATAAATGATCCCCTGATATGACAGACTGACAGTGAATAGTTTTTTTTTTTAAAAAAAACAATTGGGATTTTATGTATCCGAAAATGTTTCAACACAATCTCCGAAGTCCACTTCTTACAACCAGATCTGGTATTGAGGATGCATGATCGATGTGCACATTCAAATCCACATTTAACAAAAACGTTATTAATGTTGCAGATAAAGATCTATGCACAATAACACCTTAACACCTATTAGAAATTTATAGTAAACTAAAGGTAACGCAAGACTGAACAAATGTTACAGACCAATCAGCACTAGATGTGGATGTGGTAAAAATCATTTGGGTCACCTTTACTTTCCAGGACAACTGTAACCATTTTAGGCTAGTCAACCTGGGAGCCAATTTTGTTTAAAAAAAAAAATTTTTAAACTTAAACTTTAAAAAGAAACATTTACAGATCAAGGCGGATTTGAAGCCAAGATCTTTTAGCTGACAGGCAGACTGTCTAGCTGATAAACCACCACAGCTTTATTCCAGTCACTACAACCATCAAAAGGAACCAACAGGAACCAACCTGTGTTTGCTGCTGCTGCTGCTGCTGTTGCCGCTGTCGATCTGACATCTCCTGCTGCTGCTGCCGCTGTCGGTCCGACATCTCTTGCTGCTGACGCTGTCGCTCAGACATATCCTGACGCTGACGTTCCACCATCTGCTGGCGCTGTCGCTGTTGCTGTTCCATCATTTCCAAGCGGTGGCCCGCATCCATGACTTCCCCTTTGGGTCCACCACTTTCCATGGGAACTCTCTGCTGAAATCACAAACATCAAATCTGGGTTTATGTATCAATCATCTCAATATCCTCATAACTCCCAGTGTGGGTGAAAAAAAACAATAGACCCACTGCCTCTCACCATACCCCAACCCCAACAAGCACGTCCTAAAAGGCACCTAATCAGGAGTGTTTCCTTTGAAGTCAGATTTAATCTGCCTAAGAGGTGAGGAACCACCAGTCTACATACTTCTTCTTCGCATTCGCCGGCTGTAAACTCTAACGGAAAGTTCTGGTTGTTTGTCCACTTCTGGACTGCAGTCCTGTTTCAGAACCTGAGTGTTGTGTGTGCATCCATTAGGCGGATCTGACTCATCTGTGTGCAGACTGTTGGTTTCTTGCCTCTCAAGCAGACGCACTCCAACTTCAAAGGAAGCTCCCAATTAGTCGACTCTTACGACATGCTTTTGGGTAGGCAGTAGGTCTTTTCTCGTCTTCTCTATAACAGGGCCTCGGAACCCACAAGGGAAGTCTACATACGAAAAAACTAGACCTGTAAAATTTTATCTCATTCTGCATACATCTCCAAACCATTGTAACTGTGACTAATCCACTTGAGTTGTAAGGCCCAGGTTTCAAGAACCAGATGTACTGTCTAATTGTCAACTTGGCCCCATCTTGTCACTTGGACCACCTTTCTCGGATACCTCATTTTTTAGGCTGTGAGCTGTTGTCATGCCTATGACTCACATTTGTAGGTCAGGACTCCCATGATTCACACCTGTAGGTCAGGACTCCCATGATTCACACCTGTAGGTCAGGACTCCCATGATTCACACCTGTAGGTCAGGACTCCCATAGGTCAGAACTCCTATGACTCACACCCATAGGTCAGGATTCACACCTGTAGGTCAGGACTCCCATGATTCACACCTGTAGGTCAGACTCCCATGATTCACACCTGTAGGTCAGGACTCCCATGATTCACACCTGTAGGTCAGGACTCCCATGATTCACACCTGTAGGTCAGGACTCCCATAGGTCAGAACTCCTATGACTCACACCCATAGGTCAGGATTCACACCTGTAGGTCAGGACTCCCATGATTCACACCTGTAGGTCAGGACTCCCATGATTCACACCTGTAGGTCAGGACTCCCATGATTCACACCTGTAGGTCAGGACTCCCATAGGTCAGAACTCCTATGACTCACACCCATAGGTCAGGACTCCCATAGGTCAGAACTCCTATGACTCACACCCATAGATCAGGACTATCATGTCTCACACCTGTAGGTCTGAACTCCTATGATTCACACCCATAGGTCAGGACTCCCATGATTCCTACCTGTAGGTCAGGACTCCCATGATTCACACCCATAGGTCAGGACTCCCATGTCTCACACCTTTAGGTCTAAACTCCTATGATTCACACCCATAGGTCAGGACTTCCACGTTTCACACCCTTAGGTCAGGACTTCCATGATTCACACCTGAAGGTTAGAAGTCCCATGATTCACACCCGTAGGTCAGGACTCTCATGATTCACACCTGTAGGTCAGAACTCCTATGACTCACACCTGTAGGTCAGGACTCCCGTGATTCACAATTGTAGGTCAGGACTCCCATGATTCACACCTGAAGGTCAGAAGTCCAATGATTCACACCCGTAGGTCAGGACTCTCATGATTCACACCCATAGGTCAGAACTCCTATGACTCACACCTGTAGGTCAGGACTCCCATGATTCACACCTGTAGGTCAGGAATCCTATGATTCACACCTGTAGGTCAGGACTGGCACATTATAATCTTAGGTAAGTCAGCTGAAGAACTACCAACTCACCTGCGGATCAAAGTATCTCTGAGGGGGTTTCGAATAGGCCATGGACTCTGCGGGCGACCTGTGCTCACCCTGAGAGCTCACCGAGGGCTCCGATGTGCTGGGTGTGGACTGGCTGTTGGCAAAAATACACACATCATATAAGTATTCATTTTTACAAACTCAGTAACCTCTTCTAGTGCAAAATAAATGGCTTTACAAGATCTTAAATAAGTTTTAACCCTTTTATCCCCAAAACTCTTTAAACAAAAATAGGCTAGGAACTAGCAGGACACAAGAAATTCCAGAAAACAGCAAATAAAACACTTTAAAAAACTATTTTTTTTATCTACTATCAACCACCCCCCTTTTTCCCCCAATATATGATGATTTACAAAGAAAGCGTTTAAAAAAAACATGAATATCAAAATGAATATATTCCCAGGGCCTTAAAAAAAGTATGCCATGGTGACTCGTGGTGTGACCCCTATGACCTTTAACACTAGCACTACGGGAACCTTTCGACTTCAGAAAGGCTTTTAATAAGTCACTTTGTTCATAAGAAAACACAATAAATGCTATTTTTAGTAAATATATTCATATCATATTCATATTAAATGCTGCACAGGCACAAACAAAACCAATAATATTAAACTGCACTTCTCAGAAACAGGTCACAGCAGACAGGCAGATTTTGAAGCCTTTAAGGAAATATGGAAAAAGCGCTGAGTTCAGGACTTCCTGGAGTAAATCAGGTCACAGCAGACAGGCAGATTTTGAAGCCTTTAAGGAAATATGGAAAAAGCGCTGAGTTCAGGACTTCCTGGAGTAAATCAGGTCACAGCAGACAGGCAGATTTTGAAGCCTTTAAGGAAATATGGAAAAAGCGCTGAGTTCAGGACTTCCTGGAGTAAATCAGGTCACAGCAGACAGGCAGATTTTGAAGCCTTTAAGGAAATATGGAAAAAGCGCTGAGTTCAGGACTTCCTGGAGTAAATCAGGTCACAGCAGACAGGCAGATTTTGAAGCCTTTAAGGAAATATGGAAAAAGCGCTGAGTTCAGGACTTCCTGGAGTAAATCTAACGATTTCTATACAAAGAAATTCTTACCCATTTTTACAAGATCAGGTGCCATTTTTTACAAGATCAGGTGCCATTTTTTACAAGATCAGGTGCCATTTTTTTTACAAGATCAGGTGCCATTTTTTTTACAAGATCAGGTGCCATTTTTTTTACAAGATCAGGTGCCATTTTTTTTACATGATCAGGTGCCATTTTTACAAGATCAGGTGCCATTTTTTTTACAAGAGCAGGTCACGTTTTTACAAGATCAGGTGCCATTTTTACAAGAGCAGGTCACGTTTTTACAAGATCAGGTGCTATTTTTACAAGAGCAGGTCACGTTTTTACAAGATCAGACACTATTTTCACAAGACTAGTAGCCTGTTAAATATAAGTAAGCAGTTTACTAAACTTCCCCTACATTAAAAAAGGAAAAATAAAAATAAATATAAAATATATATATATATATATATCACACTATCCCTTATTGCTGTAGCATTTTTGTCTTGGTTAGAGACAAACCTGAAACCCATTTATTTTCTGTACAAAAAAAAAAGAAATTTTACTTCCGACTGACCCCCCAATGCTTTCACAATTTCTTGAGAATCCATAACCTTTTGTGACCTAGTTTCTGTAAAGAACTGCTACCCTTACCGTAAGGGAGATGGAGTTGCCTTCACCAGGTCCGTCCTATCGTCACTGGTGGTCTGGTTGATCTGATGAATGATGATGGCATTGATGAGTTTGTCTGCCGTCATTGAGCTTCTGCTAGAGGGGTTTGTCTGGTTGGCAGGCATCGGCTGTTTAAGGGGAAAAATCATCTTTCAGCATGTTAGGGATAGTAAGATCATACAGACATGCATTTTAAACAGATGCACCAGTGGATATCCGTACATTAAAGATGGATACCCACAGGGCTTTTGTGTGTGTGGTATGCAGAACTGGAATCAGTTTTTGGGTGGCATTTTTTCTTTCAGTTGGTTAGTTGCGTATCCTTTACAGGGCCTTACAGAACCAACCCCAACCCTGTCTGTTGTGTGGTTTCTCTAGGCAAATTTACGCCCAGTAGTTTGCTATTGCTTTCTGGATGGTTGGCTTTCTTGATACCGCTGTCAAAACCAACACAAGGCGCGGGGCCCGCAGCTGGGATCGAAAACGGCACCCCGGCATTACGAAGCGTTTGCATCGACTTAGCCACAGAGCCGACATTTCTTTCAGTATTACTGTGATAAACACTCTACAGTGAGTCACAGCACCACTTTTGAAGATCCCTCGAGTACCAGCACCTTTTTTCTAGAAAAGGAAGCTCTGGATATTCACAAACATAAAAGTAAAATGTCAGCATTTTTTATCATGGCTTTTATAATTTTGTCGGCTTTGTGGCTAAGTCGATGCAAGCGCTTCGTAATGCTGGGATGCCAGGTTTGATCCCAGCTGCGGGCAATGCGCCTTGCGATGGTTTCGACAGTGGTATCAAGAAAGCTGACCGTCCAGAAAGCAATAGCAAACTTACTGGACGTAAATTTGCCTAGAGAAAGCACACAACAGCCAGGGGCTGTTGGGGTTGGTTCTGCAAACTCCTGTAAGGGATAAGCAATTAACCTTTTAATTTCAGTTGTAGTTTGCATTTGCCGGCTGTGAACCCCGACAGAAAGATCTGGTTGTTTATCCATTTCTGGATTTTGGCTTTGTTCTAGGACCTGAGTTTGGGTGTGCATCCATTTTTCAGATCTTACTTATTTGTATGCAGACTGTTGGTTATTTGCCTCTCAGGCAGACACACTCCAACTGAAGGAAACCTCTAATTAGTCGACTCTTACAGCATTCTTGTTGGGGAGGCAGTTGGTCTATCCTTGTTGGGGAGGTAGTAGGTCAATTCTAGTTGGGGAGGCAGTGAATCTATTCTTGTTGGGGAGGCAGTGAATCTATTCTTGTTGGGGAGGCAGTGGGTCTATCCATGTTGGGGAGGCAGTGAATCTATTCTAGTTGGGGAAGCAGTCAATCTATTCTTGTTGGGGAGGCAGTGAATCTATTCTTGTTGGGGAGGCAGTGAATCTATTCTTGTTGGGGAGGCAGTGAATCTATTCTTGTTGGGGAGGCAGTGAATCTATGCTTGTTGGGGAGGCAGTGAATCTATGCTTGTTGGGGAGGCAGTGAATCTATTCTTGATGGGGAGGCAGTGAATCTATTCTTGTTGGGGAGGCAGTGAATCTATTCTTGTTGGGGAGGCAGTGGGTCTATCCATGTTGTGGAGGCAGTGAATCTATTCTAGTTTCGGAGGCAGTCAATCTATTCTTGTTGGGGAGGCAGTGAATCTATTCTTGTTGGGGAGGCAGTGAATCTATTCTAGTTGGGGAGGCAGTGAATCTATTCTTGTTGGGGAGGCAGTGAATCTATTCTAGTTGGGGAGGCAGTGAATCTATTCTTGTTGGGGAGGCAGTGGGTCTATCCATGTTGGGGAGGCAGTGGGTCTATTCTAATTGGGGAGGCAGTGAATCTATTCTTGTTGGGGAGGCAGTGAATCTATGCTTGTTGGGGAGGCAGTGAATCTATTCTAGTTGGAGAGGCAGTGGGTCTATCCATGTTGGGGAGGCAGTAGGTCTATTCTAGTTGGGGAGTCAGTGAATCTATTCTTGTTGGGGAGGCAGTGAATCTATTCTTGTTGGGGAGGCAGTGGGTCTATTCTTGTTTGGGAGGCAGTGGGTCAATTCTAGTTGGGGAGGCAGTGGGTCTATTCCTGTTGGGGAGGCAGTGGGTCTATTCCTGTTGGGGAGGCAGTTGGTCTGTTCTTGTTAGGGAGGTAGTAGGTCAATTCTAGTTGGGGAGGCAGTGAGTCTATTCTTGTTAGGGAGGCAGTGGGTCTATTCTTGATGGGGAGGCAGTGGGTCTATTCTTGTTGGGGAGGCAGTGAATCTATTCTTGTTGGGGAGGCAGTGGGTCTATCCATGTTGTGGAGGCAGTGAATCTATTCTAGTTTCGGAGGCAGTCAATCTATTCTTGTTGGGGAGGCAGTGAATCTATTCTTGTTGGGGAGGCAGTGAATATTCTAGTTGGGGATTCTATTCTTGTTGGGGAGGCAGTGAATCTATTCTTGTTGGGGAGGCAGTGAATCTATTCTTGTTGGGGAGGCAGTGGGTCTATCCATGTTGGGGAGGCAGTGGGTCTATTCTAATTGGGGAGGCAGTGAATCTATTCTTGTTGGGGAGGCAGTGAATCTATGCTTGTTGGGGAGGCAGTGAATCTATTCTAGTTGGAGAGGCAGTGGGTCTATCCATGTTGGGGAGGCAGTAGGTCTATTCTAGTTGGGGAGTCAGTGAATCTATTCTTGTTGGGGAGGCAGTGAATCTATTCTTGTTGGGGAGGCAGTGGGTCTATTCTTGTTTGGGAGGCAGTGGGTCAATTCTAGTTGGGGAGGCAGTGGGTCTATTCCTGTTGGGGAGGCAGTGGATCTATTCCTGTTGGGGAGGCAGTTGGTCTGTTCTTGTTAGGGAGGTAGTAGGTCAATTCTAGTTGTTGAGGCAGTGAGTCTATTCTTGTTGGGGAGGCAGTGGGTCTATTCTTGATGGGGAGGCAGTGGGTCTATTCTTGTTGGGGAGGCAGTGGGTCTATCCATGTTGGGGAGGCAGTGGATCTGTTCTTGTTCTCCCCACAATGGAACACCGGAACCCATATGGAAAAGAATTTCAGTTTATATCTGAATATCCACTTTAACCAACACTTAGACACACTGATGTATCATTGTTGAAAAATCTGTGGAAACAGAGCAGATCTTTTTCTGTCTCAACCAAATTCACATTTCATGTTCACCTTTCCATTAAAATGTAAACACCCCCCCCCCCCCCCACGTGAATTTCCAGGGAACCAAAGAGGTGACAATTACTGGCAGTTATCCCTGTGTGGGTTCTGGCCAGGACCTTACTTTGAAGGAAAGAAAACAACAACGACCACAAGGATACATCCACTGCTCTTTGACAAACATGTTGTAAAAGTCTACTTACTAAAGGTTTACCAGGTAAGATGCCAACATTATATATGTCATTTTCGTTGACATGTATTCCTTTTGTGGGTTCTGGCGCTTTATCTAGGGATGAGGAAGGGTTTGGGGGGGGGGGGGGGGGACACAAACTTACTGGCCCTTGACAAGCATGTTGTAGAGGGAGCGATTAATCAGGAGTGTTTCCTTTGAAGCTGGATTTCATCTGCCTGAGAAGTGACAAACCAACAGTCTGCATACAAAAATAAGCCAGACCTGTAACATGGATGTGCAGGCAAAACTCAAGTTCTGGAACAAGACCCAATCTCCAAGTGGACAAAACGACCAGAACAAAACGACCAGAACAAAACGACCAGAACAAAACGACCAGAACAAAACGACCAGAACAAAACGACCAGAACAAAACGACCAGAACAAAACGACCAGAACAAAACGACCAGAACAAAACGACCAGAACAAAACGACCAGAACAAAATGACCAGAACAAAACGACCAGAACTTTCCACCAGAGTTGACATCTGGTGAACGCTAACAAGAAGGAGGTACATGCTATTGAGCAGAAATACTAGTTGATATTTCACAGAAAATACATGACATTTAACATCGACAGCAGAAGACATGTCCACACGCTACTGACAGCTGATTTACCTGAGGACATACCTGCGGGGAGCTGGCTACAGAGTCCCTCTGAAAGGCTGCCAACAAGATGGCCGAACCAGCATCCCCGACTTGCTTCCTCACATAGTTGGAGTCATTCAGGGCTCGGGGAACGGCGTCCATCATCTGACGCTGGTTGTCAGCCTGGGAGGACGACATCTCCTGCCGACGAGGATCCACCCGCATATCGCTAAAGACAAACAAGTAATTAAAAGAATTAAGAAACAATTATTCAGCCAGCTTCTGAAATGAGGTATCAGTGAAAAGTGGTCCAAGTGACAAGAAAGGACAAAGTTCACAGACAATCATGATGTCATCATCTTGAAACCCAGACCTAACACACTTGAGTGGATCAGTGATAGTTACGCCAGTTTGGACATGTATACAAAATGGGAGAGAATCGACAACAGCAGCAGGTATTGGAGGCCAGGAACTTGGGAACCAGACCACCAGAACGACCCAGGGTCCACTGGGAAGACAACACCTAACAGTCCCTGACTAACAGAGGACTGGAGTGGAACAACGCCAGAAATAAAACTGCTGACAGAGATGTCTGGCGATCTCTCTGGCAAACCTCTACACCCCAAGGTAGAAGAGGATAGACTAAGTAAGCCATTTAAAAGAAAAATAATGATATTCCACAAAGCTTGAACAACAAAGAGAACTGGTTTATAGACAGCATCTTGTCTCACAGACTGACATGATTTGGCTATTGTATGGGACTTTGTTTCAATAAAAAAAAAAAAAAAGATTAGTGGTACTCACCACAAAACTAAACACCACCAGAGAAAAAAAAAAACTGGTACACACCACAAAACTAAACACCACCAGAAAAAAAAAACATTGTGGTACTGACCACAAAACTAAACACCATCAGAGAAAAAAGGCTCTGATTTAACTGTGACTTTGAAAGATCAGTAACACAAGACATATAATAATAATAATAAAGTAATAATAAAGAAAGATAAAACTGCTGATACAGAAATCCAGAGATCTCTCTGGCAAACCTCTACACCCCAAGGTAGAAGATAAGTGGCCAAGTAAGTTAAGTTAGCTGCGTATCTTTACAGGACATTGCAAAACCAACCCCAGCATTTTCTGACTGTTGTGGTTTTTCTAGGCAAATTTACATCCAGTAGTTTGCCATTGCTTTCTTTATACCACTGTCGAAACCAGCCGCAGCTGGGATGCTGTGATTGAACCCTGCACCTCGGCATTACAAAGCCTTTTCGTAAAGCATAAGCCACAGACGCCGACAGCTAAGTAAGTATAATAAAATAAGTGAAGGATCCTTTCTGCGCCAGCAGGCACGGGGTGCATGATGTTACTCATATGTTTATAGACCAATCATTACTTATGATGTTACTCATATGTTTATAGATCAATCAGTACTTATGATGTTACTCATATGTTTATAGATCAATCATTACTTATGATGTTACTCATATGTTTATAGACCAATCATTACTTATGATGTTACTCATATGTTTATAGACCAATCAGCACTTAGTTGGCGAAATGGTCAGCACTATACTGGCTGATTTCATTTCCTCTTAGGCGTACGAATTAGGCTGGGGGTAAGGGTCAATTTCAAAAACAAAATGTCAAAATCTTCAGGCCAACAAGCAAGGTTCTAGCCACTACACGACTGCGGCTTCCCAATCAAATAATACTAATAATCATAATAATAAATGTAATAACAAAACCACGACAGATAATGATCTGCTGACCTTGGGTAATGCTCCCTGCTGTCGGGCCTGGAGCCTGGGTAGGAGCGGGGGTCCATTGATTGTGAGGGGTGTGGCTGATGAGGTTGAGAGGCTGCCGAGGCTCGAGCCTCAGCCAATCGGCGCTCCTGTTCCTGTCTGTAAAGAGAAAAAAAAACGAAACATTCTCTACAGGTGTGGTTCTACATGATGACTGTAGCAGTCTACAATGTCTACACAGCCTCGCATAATTATGTTTCCCCTGGGAAGCAACAGCAGCTGCGTATGGCATCAGACATCGCAGTTTATCAGATGATCGGCAGCCGGGCCAGGGCGCGCTAACTCTCTTGATATGCCATGATGTTATGCATTCTAAAGTGCCAAGCGGTCTTTAAAAATATAGGTCTGGCCCTATTGCCCAGCATGCTTGAAGGTGTGGAAAAGGGTCCTTGACTTTTTTAAATTATGTTTTAGTTCTTTTTCTTTTCTCCTTCTGCTTGGGCAGTCAATGAGACCTAACAAGGAGACCTACCAATGTTTTAAAGCAACAGTTGATGAGACCTAACAAGGAAACTTACCAATGTGTTTAAGCAACAATCAATTAGACCTAACAAGGAAATCTACCAATGTTTTAAAGCAACAATCAATTAGACCTAACAAGGAGACTTTCCAATGTGTTTAAGCAACAATCAATGAGACCTAACAAGGAGACCTACCAATGTGTTAAAGCAACAATCAATGAGACCTAACAAGGAGATCTACCAACATGTTAAAGCAACAATCAATGAGACCTAACAAGGAGATCTACCAATGTTTTAAAGCAACAATCAATGAGACCTAACAAGGAGACTTTCCAATGGTTTAAGCAAACAATCAATGAGACCTAACAATCGGAGACCCTGTTCCAATGTGTTAAAGCAACAAAATGAGACCTAACACATTCTCTACCAATGTTTTTAAAAAGCAACAATCAATGAGACCTAAAAAGGAGATCTACCAATGTGTCTAAAGCAACAATCAATTAGACCCCCTGGGAGACTTTTCAATGTGTTAAAGCAAGAATCAATGAGACCTAACAAGGAGACTTTCCAATGTGTTAAAGCAACAATTAATGAGACCCTAACAAGGAGATCTACCAATGTCATCAAAGCAACAATCGGCAGACCTAACAAGGAGACTTTCCAATGTGTTAAAGCAACAATCAATGAGACCTAACAAGGAGACTTTCCAATGTGTTAAAGCAACAATCAATTAGACCTAACAAGGAGATCTACCAATGTGTTAAAGCAACAATCAATGTGACCTAACAAGGAGACTTTCCAATGTGTTAAAGCAACAATCAATGAGACCTAACGAGGAGACTTTCCAATGTGTTAAAGCAGTCAATGAGACCTAACAAGGAGACCTACCAATGTGTTAAAGCAACAATCAATGAGACCTAACAAGGAGACTTTCCAATGTGTTAAAGCAACAATCAATGAGACCTAACAAGGAGACTTTCCAATGTGTTAAAGCAACAATCAATGTGACCTAACAAGGAGACTTTCCAATGTGTTAAAGCAACAATCAATGTGACCTAACAAGGAGACTTTCCAATGTGTTAAAGCAACAATCAATGAGACCTAACAAGGAGATCTACCAATGTGTTTAAGCAACAATTAATGAGACCTAACAAGGAGACCTACCAATGTGTTAAAGCAACAATCAATGAGACCTAACAAGGAGACCTACCAATGTGTTAAAGCAACAATCAATGAGACCAAACATAGAGATCTACCAATGTTTTAAAGCAACAATCAATGAGACCTATCAAGGAGATCTACCAATGTGTTAAAGCAACAATCAATGAGACTTAACAAGGAGACTTTCCAATGTATTAAAGCAACAATCAATGAGACCTAACAAGGAGATCTACCAATGTTTTAAAGCAGCAATCAATGAGACCTAACAAGGAGACTTTCCAATGTGTTTAAGCAACAATCAATGATACCTTACCTGTTGTGTTGTTCCACCTCATACTGCCTCTGCTTAATCTGTTGGTCCCACTGGGCTGTTCGGGACAGTGGGTTCTTGTCATATGGTGCTTCAGCCTTGTAGGGGCCTCTTGGGACAGGCGACAGTCTCCGTGACTGGTTGGGGTCAGCAGGCATGCCCAACATTCCCGAATGGCGGCCACCTGTTGATTTTAAATAGCAGTGTATTTGACGTCTGCATCTGATAAGAAACACGTCAAACACGTGATGGCAATAACAGTGCTGAAATTTGTGCACTTGATGCGGAAGATTAATCTTCATGCGGGCGGGTCTTGCCAGTCACACTCATCATCATGGGATGTCTTTCCCATGCCTCACTGTAACTCTCATTTCAACATCATCTTTCCTCATTACAACACTATCTTTCCCTTTCCCATGCTTCACTGTAACTGTCATTCAACACCATCTTTCAGATGCCTAAATGTAACTCTCATTACAACACCATCTTTCCCATGCCTCACTGTAACTCTCATTACAACACCATCTTTCCTCATTACAACACCATCTTTTCCATGCCTCACTGTAACTCTCATTACAACACCATCTTTCAGATGCCTCACTGTAACTCTCATTACAACACCATCTTTCCCATGCCTAACTGTAACTCTCATTACACCACCATCTTTCCCATGCCTCACTGCAACTCTCATTACAACACCATCGTTTCCATGCCTAACTGTAACTCTCATTACAACACCATCTTTCCCATGCCTCACTGTAACTCTCATTACAACACCATCTTTCCTCATTACACCACCATCTTTCCCATGCCTCACTGTAACTCTCATTACAACACCATCTTTCCCATGCCTCACTGTAACTCTCATTACAACACCATCTTTCCTCATTACAACACCATCTTTCCCATGCCTCACTGCAACTCTCATTACAACACCATCTTTCCTCATTACACCACCATCTTTCCCATGCCTAACTGTAACTCTCATTACAACACCATCTTTCCCATACCTCACTGCAACTCTCATTACAACACCATCTTTCCTCATTACACCAACATCTTTCCCATGCCTAACTGTAACTCTCATTACACCACCATCTTTCCCATGCCTCACTGTAACTCTCATTACAACACCATCTTTCCCATGCCTAACTGTAACTCTCATTACAACAACATCTTTCCCATGCCTCACTGTAACTCTCATTACAACACCATCTTTCCCATGCCTAACTGTAACTCTCATTACAACACCATCTTTCCCATGCCTCACTGTAACTCTCATTACAACACCATCTTTCCTCATTACACCACCATCTTTCCCATGCCTCACTGTAACTCTCATTACAACACCATCTTTCCCATGCCTCACTGTAACTCTCATTACAACACCATCTTTCCCATGCCTCACTGTAACTCTCATTACACCACCATCTTTCCCATGCCTCACTGTAACTCTCATTACAACACCATTGTCTAAAAAGAAGGAAAGGTGCCAACCATGTGATGTATAAAAAAGAATGAAGTAAAGGACCCTTCTCCATGCCTTCAATTGTATTGGGCTAAAACCTATGTTTTATTGACCTATCGGTACTTGTGGGTGATGTGTTTCAACATCACGCCAGCCACCTTTACTTCCCAGGACAGTACCTGGTACTCACTCAAGGCTGGGTCAATCTGGAAGCAAAGGTCATTTTTAAAGAAAGCCAGGTTCCATTTGATGCACAAGATAAAAAAAAAAATGTATAGGGACAAAGAAAAGCTCTGGGCAAAACTCATCTCATAAAAATTATGTGTTCTACCTCCTCCTTTCTTCAAAGTGCAGCCTCCCCATCCCATGCTGGGTAATCAAATGTTTGCTGGTTCTTGTGTTACCCCGTGTGCATGCACGTCTGTTGGCTCTTGTTGAGGTTAGCTAAAATAAAAGTGCATGCAAACTCAAATTCTGGAACAAGACTAAAGTTCAGAAGTTGACAAATAACCAGAATTTCCCTCGAAGAATTTTCCCAAAGAAGATCTTGAGTGAGTCAGAAGAGATGGTTAAAACCTGATTAAATTTGTTCATGGCCTATGCTCCACTGGAGTTGTTATATTACCCCACTTTGCCCCAGTTGTTAGTTTGAAATCTTTCCAAGATTGCCTCCTTATTTTAAATATTTTGGACCCAAGCATCTGTTAGTTAAGTTTATAAATTCATTTGATTTAACCAGTGAAAGTACCACCTGTCTGGGACTCAAAGAGTTAAATTAGTTCACGACCTATGCTCCAGTGGAGGGTAAAGGTGACTCACCTGGATCTGCCTGCCGCGGCGACAGCTGGCTCCTATGCTGCTGCATGCTAGTACTGTCGGCTATGGCACTCTGTACCTCTGCCTTGTGGTCAGGATGGTGCGGAGGTCGTCCGGTGCCGGCCACGATGCTTGGGCGCTGACCGGCCATGGGGTCTAGTGACAGAGGTGTGGGCATTGGAGGGCCAGGCATTCCTCGACCACCTAGTGTATGTAATGAAACACATGTGGTCAGTGCAGCAGGTCTGAGACAATGACTGAATGAACGAATGAATGAATCATTACACTTGGGACATTCTCAATCCTCCTCCGTCTCCATCCTCAGTAGCCAATGAAAAGTTGACATGCTAACAGTATCGGTCAAAAGTATTTCTATGTTTCCCCGTCAGTGTTGAACATCTTCTAGAACCTCTACTAACATCCCCCAAACCTCCTTTTGTTCACCCCACACTGAATTATCCCTCGGATTGGCAGAGTAATTTCCCTTGAAGTTGGAGTACATCAGCCTGGGAGGCAGGGAACGGCAAACAAATAAGCCAGTAAAACGGATGTACACGCAAAACTCGGGTCAAGGTAAAAGCCAAAAGTCCAAACTTTTGTTAGCACTTCGGATGGCTACCGTATGTTTTTATTGCGTGTGTATGCTAGATATGCTGAGACAGCAGTCTCAATCTTTCCACAAGGGACTGTGATAAACATTCTGTGTGTTTTTCATTGGCAAAGGACTGGAGCAACTATGGGGTGACCCGTTTGCTATGAAGATGAAACTCAGATTACCAGATCACCAGATGAGACAGAGTCAAATAAACAATATATTGTTCTGTAAAGGCAAAAGTAAAGGACCATTTTTACGCCAGTGGCAAATTGGGCATACGATACTTGATTTTTATAGACCACTTGGCACTCGATAGGTAAAGTGATGAACATCATGCTAGCCGCCTTTGCTTTTCATGATGGTGTTATTAATTTAAGACAGGGTCAACCTAGGATCCAAGATCAATTTTGAACAGAAAAAAAAAAACATGCAGATTTGGATCCAAGACCTTCAAACCGGCAGACAGGTGTACATAGTTCTGAGATGGAATGAAATACCCAGCCTATAATTCTAAGAAAGGATCAAATAACTAGTTCATGGTTTTGAGACAGAACAACAGATTCAGCAAATGTTCTAGGTGAGAAGCTAGAAGATAGCGACAGAGAGGAACCAGCTAGATGATTAAAAACCTGAAGATAATAGCAAGATGGTGTCAACATTTCACATGAAACAATCAAACAAGAATGAAGATCTCTTGAAAAAAATTAACACTCAGAGAGAACTGACTGACCACATTAGAAGGAGACATCTACATTCTTGATCACATAATGAGAAGGAGAAAATTGGAATACATCATGGCAGTGGGACAGTTAGATGGTACAAGAGGCAGAGGAAGACTTAGGGAGAAAATGTTGGACAGTCTAACATCATGACAGAGAAGATTGTGTGTCAGAAATGACTGAAAGAAGTTGAGACAGGGGGCTGTAGGTAAACAGCATTACTAATGCTAGGTGGTACAGATTCATCTTCTTTTTCTTCTTAGCGTTTACCAGCTGAGACTTAATCTGACAGTTATGGATGTTCATTCACTTCTGGACTCTGGTTGTGATCCAGAACCTAAGTTTCGCATGCACATCCATTGACCGATCTGTTTTATTTGTATGCAGACTGTTGGTTCCTTGTCGCCTCAGGCAGATGCACTGCATCTCCGAAGTAAACACCTGTAATTTGTCACCCATTATGACATGCTTGTTGGAAGGGGGGGGGAATGGGGTGTCTATTCTTTGTTTCCTGAAATGGAGCCCCGGAACCCACATAAAGAACAGCATAGATTATAATTTGTAATGTATATATACTGTACTATACAGAATATAGGATAACTATCAGAAGAATCATACACCTGATACAGCAGTTAATGGAGACAGAACAAAACACAAAGTTGGGTACACAAAGAACCAAGTACACAAAGGGTCCTTTCCTATGCCATGAGACACAATGGATGTATGGTACTAGTCTCATGTTGTTAGAACAATCAACATTCCAGGTGTGGTGGGATTAGTAGCACGCCAGTGGCCTTTACTTCCCAGGGATTCATTTTAGGTGAGACGCTCAGGCCACACTGATGTTTGTTGTTTGTTTTAGTATCGAGAAGCCATGAGTTGTTAACCCTTAGGCTCGGTATTATGGATATCGCAACCTTTCGGCCTTGATTCCATTGTAAATACTGTAAATCTGGGAGAAATGTGGCTTTTCTGCCTACCCCCGGGAGTGAACCCGGACCACAAGGAGTTCGTCACCCAGTCTCCGCGCAATCCGGTTTAGCCAACTACGCTAGAGAGCCGGGCAGGCCACACTGATAAACACGCTAATGACAATGGTAATGAATAAGGTGAATGGTCAGACAAATATCAATGATAAGACAATAAATGAGATGATTAAAGAAGTCAATGGTAAGACAAATCTCAATGATTACAATGATGAAATAAAATGAAAGATCTAACAAACCTTGCTGCCAGGGCACTGACTGAGGCTTGTCATCCCTGACACCGTGCGGTGATGCCTTGCCACGTCCATCCTGTGGCGCCTGGCCGGCCACCATGAACACCGTCCCCTGGTTGCCAATGACCATGTGCTGACGTGGATCCACCCCAGGCTGAGGCTGGCGCTGAGGAGGGAGCATGGGGATGCGAGGGCACCGGTGCTGAATGTCCAGGTTCCCTTCCACCTCGGGGCGACAACCCTTCCTCTCTATCTCCCTTCTGTCCACGAGGCATCTGCTGGGCCGTCAGGTAGTCTATGTTGATCGTTGCTCGGGAGCTGCTGTAGTTGATGTTCTGCTCCCCCTGGTACTGGCCATAAGGTGATCCCTGAGGGAACTGTCCCTGCTTAGCATATATCGCCTGCGACTGGCGGTACTGCCCGCTGTCATAGACGGCTGCTCCGTGGGTACTTCTATAGTTTGTGTCCAGAGGCATCCTTGCAGATGCTTCCTGCCCCCCTTGTCCACGGTTCATTTCCCTCATGGGGGTGCCTTTAGTGATGGAGCCCTGCTGGGGGGCCGCCTGGCGGACCATGCCTGCCATTGGATGAGCAGGAGCGGGGCCTGCCGGGTTGTGGGTTACCGGTGTCCCGTGGGTGATGGACCCCCGCATCATCATTATGTGCCCCCCAGAAGGTGGGGAGCGGGCCTGCTTGGGTGAAGACCTCTGTACACTGCTGGTTATGAGCGGTGGGGGTGGCGGGATGCTGCGGGTGGCTGGGGAGAACCTTGATGACTCCATGCCGTGGGGATAAGGTGAAGTACTCTGTCCTGGAGCTCCGCGGACACTGGGAGACAGAGATCGGGAGTCAACCTGCTGTAGGGAAGACAAACATTAAAGTCAATCTTGTGAAACAAAAGTTAATTCTGGTCAACAAAACGGTACAACTAAACACTCTCTGTACATTTCACAAAATGTACAAACATAGCTGTAAATAAGGATACTATTACAGTGCTAATCGCTTAAGGCAAATTCGGATGTGGTGAATTTCTGCTGTGAAGAACAATTTGCTTATCCCCGGCAATTTTTCTTGCTTGAATTTGTATCTGGATAAGAGGAATTTCTGATAAAAAGAACCATTTATTGGGTCCCTGGTTAGTTTTCCTTATCAGGTCTGCACTGTATTAGCATAAGGAGACCTTCTTTGGTCGTTTCAGGAGAAGGCGAAAACTGATGTCCATCTTCTCAACAGTGGATAAGATGGAGAGGTACAGACGCAAAGTAAGACCAAGCTAGACAATACTGGCCAGTTTGACATCATGGTGGGGAAGAATATCTGCATCAGAACTCACTGAAAGTACAAGAGACAGAAGGCTGTGGATGACAGGACTACCAACGTCGTATGGCATGGAATAGAAGAAAAGGAAGACAAAATCGTGGACAGAAAAGAGAACAGGTACCGACCCCTTCAGGCAGTAAAAGATTGTTTATCAATGATTTAACTCAAACATAACTATGCGGAAAACATGGATCGATAACATTAAAGACACTCTAGGCCTTCAAGGCATGGCCAGCGCCACTGGATCACAAATTATTCCTCCCCACGACGCTTAACGGCAGAAGTGGTTTATGATGATGAATGATGATGATAACTATGAGTGCAAAAGAGACAGATTTATAAACAGGATATTCATTCCAACATTAAGCTACCAGTGCCAAACATGGACACTGTCTAAAGCCCTTGTGCACAAAATCATTTGCAAGATGAGATGCCCGAGAAAATCCACCAACCTAACCATCCGAGATCGAGTGAATAATAATACTGTCAGACAAACTGTGGGAACGACACCCTGTACTAGATTTATCGAGAAGCAGCAGATCTAGTGGTCTGGGCATCTCGTTAGAATGCAGCAATATCAAATACCATCAAAAGCACTACACCTCAGAAGATCAGCTACAAGAGCAAGGGGATGGCCACCAAAAATATCGACTGACAACATTAAAGACATTCAACGCCTTCACTGCATGACAACAACCAGTAGCAGCCAGTGTGCATTGGATTGCAAATTATTCCTCCCCACGAAGTTGAACAGGATATGGAGGTGCTGAACCATACATGGTGGTGCAATAGAACCAGAGCTTATACAGGCTGACAGCTAACTACACCTCTTGATAGCCATCCTAGACACATGTTCTTAATCAGAAGCCTGGTTAGTGTAGACAGGATCCGCATTTCCTTCGTTGTTGAACTGCATCTGCCTGAGAGTCGAGGAACCAATAATCTGCACACAAATAAGAAAGATCTGTAAAATGGATGTCCAAGTAAAACTCCAGTCTTGCAAGAGAGACAAAAGTCCAGAAGTAGACCAGCAACTGGACTTTCTGTCTGCGTTTACAGCTGGTGAACATGAAAATGAAGATGAAGAACAGGGCACACTGATAGAAGAAATGGGATGAAGAAAATTGTTCTATGTGGACAGAAAAAAAATTAGGCAAATAATGCAGAGAAAGATATTTGTGAAAAACTTAAAACAGGAAAGAGAAATCTTATATGATGAAAAGTACCTTCATAAAAGGTAAACAGACTTCTTCGAGTTCTAATTGAAGTTGAAATACACAATGAATTGATGGCACTATTACCTGGTACATGGATGGTGACTTGTTACGGCTATCCGGCCGATGCAACGTCTTGCCCAGATCCTGGGCTGCTGGATGACTCGGCACACCTGGATGGTGGTGAGAGTGCGCGGGAGGTGGCGCCACCATCTGACGGGCTGGCTCTGCTGCTGACCTCTGGTAGATATCTGGCCGGGAGCGATGTGATTCAAAGTCACGCGGGTTGCCCTTGTACCCATGAGGCCCCTTTTCTAGAGGGTCGGCTCGACGTGAGAGATCCTGTACTTCCATCTCTCTATCTCCTGGCCGGGATACTGGGTATCCCATCATACCCCTGGGATCTGGCATGTGAGGAGGCAGGTCTTTTCTTTCTTTTCGTAAATCTTGTGGCGCAGGACCTCGAGAACGACTGGGATCTATAATTGGTGGCCCTGTTCAAAGTCAAAATTATAAATTTTAACATACCATCTTGCTTGCATTAAATCTAGAGTGCCTATTTAATGTTAACAAAACTTTTATTATCTAAATTACAAGAACTATTATATTCTAATACAAATATCTATAATTTAATGTCTTTTGTGTTCTAATGAAGCTCAAATACAAGTTTTTACTTTAACACCTAAGACAGATTAACTTTTAAGTATTTAATCTAGAATAGTTTTAATTCAAACATCTAACCTATAATAAGTTTTCAAATACAAATAATGTCACCTCTACAATACTTTAAAGTTCTCATTTAAGCTGAATTGGTTAAAGTAGAATGGCTTTAAATGTCTACAAAGATCTTAAAGTTCAAACTGTTAAACTCAAAGATTCACCAAAGAGCAGCAACAAGAGCTATGGAAGGGATACGTTAATATTTGCATTTATTGAGTATGTCTTAAATACAGTCTTAAATGCATCTGCGAGATGTTAAATCAACCTCATTTATTTTAATATAATATCAAGCTTAAAAATTATAATTTAAAAAAGAAAAGAAAAATAAAATGAAAGAGAAAGAAAAAAGTAAACCGGCTTTGCAATAGATTAACTAGACTTGACTCAGCAGCTGCTATGTGGCAACAAGGAGTGAATTTATCTCTCTCTCGATGCCAGAAGTGGTAAAACAGAAGTGAAGAAGAAGACAAACTGAGTCAATAATAAGCTTAGTGCAGGAACTAAAAAACAATGCCTGGGGATTCGGAGGTGAGGAAAACAGTGGTGCTGGATAGAACAGGTTGAGAAAATATGATAAAAACAAAACTACAATGTCGCTGCACTGGAACCCACAAGGCAAAAGAAAGAGCACATAAAGGTAGTAAATTAGAGACAGACAAATAATACAGGAAGGACACAGAGCGAGCTACAGGAGATATCATTTGATAGAACAGTTTGATGAGTTGGTTCAGAGCACTAAAAGATTCCTCCACTCAGCTCTAGAGTTGATTGCTTGGTGTGACACTGTGAGCTGTGGATTTAATGTGGAATGTTTCTTTCTGTTGTGCCCGAGGCGTGTTGTTAACTGCACTAAAATATCAGGTGGGCGATTAGGTTCACAATGGTGTGCACTTTTGGAAATGCAATGCCAGCCTTGATGAATGACAATTTGCGCCAAGAGCCAGTTTCAGTTCTGGTGTGGGACTGTTAGTGTTGGCACATCTCACAGCTGAATGGTGCATTTTTACTTTGCAATCTGCTTGTGACAAGCTTTTCACTATTTTTTAAATCGGACAGTGAAGGATATTTTCTATGATTTCCACGGGCAAAGGAGCAGAGCATTTATGGGATGACCTGTCTCCCACTGTGTTGGAACCTAGACCAACTGACTGTGAATGTCTCTATGTTAGACCCATCTGGGATCATGATGAATGGTAGCTGTAACATCAAACACACAGCTTCCTGTGTGGGTTCTAGGGCCCCACAGTGAGGAAAACAAGAATAGACCCAACTGCCTGAGCGGCAAGGAACCAACAGTAAGCACATCAATAAGCCAGATCTGTTTAAAAAAAAAAAAGGTGTACAGGCGAAACTCAAGTGCTGGAACAAGACTAAAGTCCAGAAGTGGACGAACAACCAGAACTTTCAGCTAGAGTTTACAGCCAGTAAACGCTTAGAGGAAGAAGAAGAAGAATGGACACTCAGAACACTCCCATAAGCGCTCCATCCCCATCTTCAGCAGCAAACGAAGAGTTCCAATTCCTATGGTACCAGTAACTGTCTGATTGTATTTATGTCTCGCTTTTCATTTGAGTGTTGAGCATTGGCCAGATCCCCTGGTAACTCCTTGCAGTGCCATTCTCCTCAGACAGTAACGATCTATCTCCGCTTCTGCACTGTTCACTCATTTCCAGAGTGACTTCACAACATCTAGCTTGCCATACATCAGTTCACCATCAAGTGGTGCAGAACTGGCCAGTCTATCTGCCTGCTCAATTCCCAACACACCGGCATGACCTGGAGAGAATATCCAAAGGATGCTAACTACTCAGGACTTCTGAAGTGATGCTTGCCACTCTGCACGGAGCATAGCTGTCTCCCTCTTTCTCAACATGGTCTGTGAGTCAGCGACAATAGAAGAAGAAGAATGTTGCTAGAGAACACTGACTGTGAATGCATCTACCATATTTCGCTAAGTGTGAGATGATCCCTTGTGTAAAATGCTCCTGGATTTTGGAACCAGACATTTGGAAACAAAATAATAAGATTACATAAAGTTACTGAAATCTATATCTGAGATATTTATGGGCAAAACATAACAAGGGCAAAACAATGAGCGCCAAGACAGCGCAAAAACTACTACAGTGGGAAAAACTTTAAATTTTATAACTGTTTTCTCCTTTTAATGTCACTCCTGAACCGGCATTCCCAAATGAGGCCCTGCAAGGGATATTTCCAAACCAATTATTAGGTAACATCCCCGTGTAGGTTTCAGGGCCCTTTTATAATAAAAACAAGAATACAACCACTGTATACCCAAAAGCATATCGTAAGAGTCGACTAATTGGGAGCTTCTTTTAAAGTCGGAGTGCATCTGCCTGAGAGGTAAGAAACCAACAATCTGCATACAAATTTGTCAGATCTGTCAAACAGATGCACATCCAACACTCAGGTTCTGGAAGAGGACTGCAGTCCAGAGGTGGACGAACAACCAGAACTTTCCGCCGGAGTTTACAACAGGTGAATACGAAGAAGAGGAAAAAGAAGATAAGGTGACAATCTACTATCATGGTAAAATATGGTACATTGGCCAAACCTCTGATCATGACAAATGGTAGCTCTGACATCAAAGACACAACAATGGACTTACTTCTGTCTGGAGGCGTAGCACAAGGAGGTGCAGCATCATAGAGGTTGCGTTCGATTGCAGAGTTGATCAAATCTCTCACGCTGGTGTGCTTGCCGGGCTTTCCCCCCGCCCCCATCTGTGCCGCGTGAGGGGAGTTGGCCATTCGACTGCCACCGCCCTCCGAGTGAGTGCTGGATGGACGGGGAGACAAGCGGGTGTCGTGTTCGGGCTCCAGCAGCATGTGTGGCCCATATGGGATCAGTCGGTCGTGTATTATCATGCTCCCAGACTGAGGCACCTATAGAAAGACATGTCAATGTAATGGAAGAAATGCACTTTTTTCACAATAATCAGTTCAAGTGTTACAGGCAGACTGAGTTTGAGCCAAAAACTGACATTCCCATAAGCAATCCGTCATCATATTCAGCAGCTAGTTAAGTGTTCCACTTCTGATGGTGCCAAAAACAGTCATATTATATGTCTTTTGCCTTTACCCTGAGTGTCAGCTAGATTCCCCTGGTCACTCCCTGCTGTACCATTCACTCCATAATGGTCTATTTGTGCCTCTAGATTATATTTTGCTCCCAAGGGGGCTTGACCAAAACTAGCTTTTCATGCATAAATTCATACCCCTGGTGCAGAACCAGTCAAATGTCTGCTTGTTCATTTCCCAACACTCCAGCATGCCCAGCAGTTTCTTAGTTTCTTAGTGGGGGGGGGGGGGGGGGGGGGGGGGAATAACTGTAGGGATCATCTTTCCCCTCTAGGGTTTGCTATGTGTAGGATTCACATCTTATGGATGAGAATCAAACATGAGCAAATACCAGAAACCATGGTCGACTGTTTTACAGAGTTACAATAGGGCGCCCAATATAAACAAAGTCAGCAGTAGTAATTTTGCTGCATACATCACCATCATCAAGTCCCTTTCAGAACACAGCTCTCGTCACGGTAGGCCTGAAAGTCTCTCTTTCTGAGGCCAATTCTTCAGCCCTATATGCTTTCACGGCCAAGGTATCAATATTTGGTAACCACCTTCCTGGAGGCGTGCTGCCTCTGCCTCATTTTCCAGAAACCACCCTCCATCACCACTCTCTCCAGGCCATCATGACCTTTAACATGGCCAAAATTCCTCAGATATTGCAACAGGATGTTGTTAATGAATCAATTCTCTCAGACGCTCCGCTGAAATAGGATGTCAATGTTTTTCTTCTCCTCGATCCATGGTATTCTAAGACGAGCACTTCTCTAAAAAAAAAAGAGACAGGAAAAACAAAAACAGGAGGTATACATAGGAATAGGCAGCATCCACCCCCCCCCCCCCAACCCCTTACAATAAATGATACCCAAAACAACAATGTAAAGAAGAGCACCAACCTCTCTGATGACTGTCACTTCTCCAGATGGGGGTCTGGTCAGTCCCCCGACTGGACTGGCCCTGACTGTTGATAGGCTGGAGGCTGCTGTAGGGGTGGGTCCTTGGCGAGGGGCAGAGAACTGTCAGAGAGTAGAAAGTTTTTTTTTTTAGGTCATTTTTTTTAAATACCAGTGAAGCATAGGCAGGCAGTAATATTTATCTAACTGTCATTGTACTAATATTTGTCAGTCATCCTCATCATCATTATCATCATCATCATCAATGTTATCATCATCATCATGGTCATTATCATCATTACTGTCATCATCAATGTTGTCATCATTATCATCATCAATGTTTTCATCATCATTATCATCATCATCAGTGTTGTCATCATCATTATCATCATCATAATTATCATCAATGTTGTCATCATCATCATTATCAATATTGTCAGCATCATCATCATCAATGTTGTCATCATCATCATTATCAATATTGCCAGCATCATCATCATCAATCTTGTCATCAGCATTATCAATGATGTCATCATCCTTTATGTTGTCATCAATGTTGTCACCATCATCAATGTTGTCATCATCATCAATGTCATCACCATCATCAATGTTGTCATCATCATCAATGTTGTCATCATCATCATCATTAATGTCATCCTCATCATCAATGTTGTCGTCATTTTCATCATCATTATCAATGTTGTCATCATCATGATCATCACCAGTAACACTTTTTATAAACTGCCATCAGTATAGTAGTACTGTTAGTTAGCCATCAGTATAGTTGTACTGTTAGCCATCAGTATAGCAGTACTGTTAGTTAGCCATCAGTATAGTAGTACTGTTAGTTAGCCATCAGTAGTACTGTTAGTTAGTCATCGGGGTTACTGTTAGTTAGCCATCAGTAAAGTAGTACTGTTAGTTAGCCATCAGTATAGTAGTACTGTTAGTTAGCCATCAGTATAGTAGTACTGTTAGTTAGCCATCAGTATAGTAGTACTATTAGTTAGCCATCAGTAGTACTGTTAGTTAGCCATCGGGGTTACTGTTAGTTAGCCATCAGTATAGTAGTACTGTTAGTTAGCCATCAGTATAGTAGTACTGTTAGTTAGCCATCAGTATAGTAGTACTGTTAGTTAGCCATCAGTATAGTAGTACTGTTAGTTAGCCATCAGTATAGTAGTACTGTTAGTTAGCCATCAGTATAGTAGTACTGTTAGTTAGCCATCAGTATAGTAGTACTGTTAGTTAGCCATCAGTATAGTAGTACTGTTAGTTAGCCATCAGTAGTACTGTTAGTTAGCAATCAGGGTTACTGTTAGTTAGCCATCAGTATAGTAGTACTGTTAGTTAGCCATCAGTAGTACTGTTAGTTAGTCATCAGTAGTACTGTTAGTTAGCCATCAGTAGTACTGTTAGTTGGCCATCAGCAGTACTGTTAGTTAGCCATCAGTCGTACTGTTAATTAACCATCAGTATAGCAGTACTGTTAGTTAGCCATCAGTATAGTAGTACTGTTAGTTAGCCATCAGTTTAGTAGTACTGTTAGTTAGCCATCAGTATAGTAGTACTGTTAGTTAGCCATCAGTATAGTAGTACTGTTAGTTAGCAATCAGTACAGTAGTACTGTTAGTTAGCCATCAGTATAGTAGTACTGTTAGTTAGCCATCAGTATAGTAGTACTGTTAGTTAGCCATCAGTATAGTAGTACTGTTAGTTAGCAATCAGTATAGTAGTACTGTTAGTTAGCCATCAGTATAGTAGTACTGTTAGTTAGCCATCAGTAGTACTGTTAGTTAGCCATCGGGGTTACTGTTAGTTAGCCATCAGTATAGTAGTACTGTTAGTTAGCCATCAGTAGTACTGTTAGTTAGCCATCGGGGTTACTGTTAGTTAGCCATCAGTAGTACTGTTAGTTAGCCATCGGGGTTACTGTTAGTTAGCCATCAGTAGTACTGTTAGTTGGCCATCAGCAGTACTGTTAGTTAGCCATCAGTCGTACTGTTAATTAACCATCAGTCGTACTGTTAGTTAACCATCAGTAGTACTGTAGTTAGCCATCAGTATAGTAGTACTGTTAGTTAGCCATCAGTAGTACTGTTAGTTAGCCATCAGTAGTAGTGTTAGTCAGCCATCAGGAGTACTGTTAGTTAGCCATCAGTAGTACTGTTAGTTAGCCATCAGTAGTACTGTTAGTTAGCCATCAGTCGTACTGTTAGTTAGCCATCAGTAGTACTGTTAGTTAGCCATCAGTAGTACTGTTAGTTAGCCATCAGTAGTACTGTTAGTTAGCCATCAGTAGTACTGTTAGTTAGCCATCAGTAGTACTGTTAGTTAGCCATCAGTCGTACTGTTAGTTAGCCATCAGGAGTACTGTTAGTTAGCCATCAGTAGTACTGTTAGTTAGCCATCAGTAGTACTGTTAGTTAGCCATCAGTAGTACTGTTAGTTAGCCATCAGTAGTACTGTTAGTTAGCCATCAGTAGTACTGTTAGTTAGCCATCAGCAGTACTGTTAGTTAGCCATCAGTAGTACTGTTAGTTAGCCATCAGTAGTAGTGTTAGTCAGCCATCAGGAGTACTGTTAGTTAGCCATCAGTAGTACTGTTAGTTAGCCATCAGTAGTACTGTTAGTTAGCCATCAGTCGTACTGTTAGTTAGCCATCAGTATCAAATTATAAAAAGAATGGGGACAGGGGAAATAGGACATCACTTGAAATAATATCATAAAAGGCGACTAATTAAAGGTTTGCTGAAAAGGGTTGCGTTGACTGAAACCCAGAGATATCACAGTCTATCTGTAAACCACAGCACTATGTACCAACCGCTGGTGAGCACAGAACATAAAGACCACTACCACCATCAGTGACATTTCTTTAGTCAACAAAGTTTCATGCTTATCAACATTCTAAAAACAACAAAACAGAAAAAAAAAAACAATACATTCTAATCATAAGGGCATGGCATAAATAACTTCTTCTTCTTCTTTCTTCTTGGTGTTCACTGGTTGCAAACTCTGGTGGAAAGTTTCAGAAGTTGAGATTTGCATGCACATCCATCTGACAGATCTGGTGTATTTGCATCCACTTTTGATTCCTCATCTCTCGGGCGGAGAGACACTGACTTCAAAGGAAAATCATCTCTCGGGCGGAGAGACACTGACTTCAAAGGAAAATCATCTCTCGGGCGGAGAGACACTGACTTCAAAGGAAAATCATCTCTCGGGCGGAGAGACACTGACTTCAAAGGAAAATCATCTCTCGGGCGGAGAGACACTGACTTCAAAGGAAAATCATCTCTCGGGCGGAGAGACACTGACTTCAAAGGAAAAGCATCTCTCGGGCGGATAGACACTGACTTCAAAGGAAAATCATCTCTCGGGCGGAGAGACACTGACTTCAAAGGAAAATCATCTCTCGGGCGGATAGACACTGACCTCAAAGGAAAATCATCTCTCGGGCGGATAGACACTGACTTCAAAAGAAAATCATCTCTCGGGCGGATAGACACTGACTTTAAAGGAAAATCATCTCTCGGGCGGAGAGACACTGACTTCAAAGGAAAATCATTTCTCGGGCGGAGAGACACTAACTTCAAAAGAAAATCCCTAAGTAGTCAACTTTTACAATATGCTTTTTAGGGGCTACTGTGTCTATTCCTGCTTCCCCCCCCCCTAATGACACCCAGGAACCTTAGTTAGGGAGGAGGAGAAGGAGGCGAGTTGCAGAAAAAGAATGACAAAGAAACTATACTGATTTAAAACAAGATGAACAATGAAATTGTCTAGCCAAATCATCAAACACTGCACAAATCATCAAACACTGTACATCAACAAACACTGTACAAATCATCAAACACTGTACATCAACAAACACTGTACATCAACAAACACTGTACATCAACAAACACTGTACATCAACAAACACTGTACAAATCATCAAACACTGTACAAATCAACAAACACTGTACAAATCATCAAACACTGTACAAATCATCAAACACTGTACAAATCATCAAACACTGTACAAATCATCAAACACTGTACAAATCATCAAACACAGTACAAATCATCAAACACTGTACAAATCATCAAACACTGCACAAATCATCAAACACTGCACAAATCATCAAACACTGTACATCAACAAACACTGTACAAATCATCAAACACTGTACATCAACAAACACTGTACATCAACAAACACTGTACATCAACAAACACTGTACATCAACAAACACTGTACATCAACAAACACTGTACATCAACAAACACTGTACAAATCATCAAACACTGTACAAATCAACAAATCATGATACAGTAGCCGGACCAAAACTCAAGCAATTACCAGTCAGAATGATAAAAAACAGCAGTAGCTGCATAAAATAATCCACGACTGACAGATTCATCCTACCTGTGATGCCACCGGAGCATGAGGAGTCCCCCCTCTGGATCCTAGACCTGAGGAAGGCGGCGTGTGCCTGGGTGTCACGTCCATGGGTGTTGGGGCGTACGTGTTACCTCCACCAACACCACCACCACTGGCTGACCCCTGGCTGCCCCCACTGCTGTTGCTGTTGCTAGGGTGAGAGTTGTGGCTGTTGGGACCTCCTGGGGGTCCTGCAATTAATCAAATGTACTGCCATAAAATATACAAATAGCATATTTCTACTAACACCCTGCTATCAGTGCCATACATGGAGACTGTCCTAATCACTTGAGAGTAAACTCGTTATATTAGAAATAAATTGTTTGAAAAACAATCCACCCTCTTCAAGAGGCAGAAATCTGGCATAAGAAACATAAGTAAGGGGTCAACCCTGCCACTGGGTAAATGCACCAGCCCTTTTTATTTTCTTATTGCTGAACGCCTTTTCTACCTCTTCTGCCAAGAAAATGCAGTGTTAAACAACACTGTTTCCCGTGTGCGTTCCGGGGCCCCATTGCGGTGAAAACCAGAATAAACCGCTGCCTACCCAAAAGCATGTCATAAAAGTCAACTAATTGGGAGCTTCCTTCGAAGTCGGAGCTCATCTGCCTGAGAGGCAAGGAACAACAGTCTGAAACGAACGTGCACGCAATACTCAGTTTCTGGAACAGGACTACAGTCCAGAAGTGGACAAACAACCAGAACCTTCAGCTGGAGTTTACAGCCCGTGAACATTAGGAAAAAGAATAACAGTTACTATTATTTTAGCCCTTGGGTAGCAGCCGTGGTCTCCTGGGATTGAAAATGTAAACCTCTATATGAACAAACTTAGTAAACCTAGTATCCCTTGATAAAATCTAACTTCAAGAGGTGGGCTCACACACCTGTTTAGACAGCAATGTAGATAAAGCTGGGGGACAAGACAGAGTTAAGAGGAAGAAAAAGAAGAAGAAGAAAATGAGGAGAAGAAAGAAGAACCAGAGAATGAGGAAGAAAAAGAGAAAGAAGGAGGAGGATGAGGAGAAGGAGAAGAAGAAGAAGATCAACTGCTGCAGCATTAAACGCTATATAACACTCTTCAGACCAAACCCCTATTTGCTTCCCACCGAAAGAGTCCACAACTCCCGTTGCCAGACTGCACAAAACGACTGGCCACTGGCTGCCTTACCCTCGTCCGCACTCATGGTTGCACTGCTGTCATTGTCGATGCTCCTCAAGCTGCCCTGGGAAGCACTCAGCTGTTTGTTGTTCTCCAACAAGTTACTGGCGGGCACCAGGGGACCTGACCCATCTCCTTCGGTATCCCCAGAGGGAGCCCTGCGTTCAGCACTGGGCTCCACATCTCCTACAGAATAGGTCAGAAGATAAAAACTCACTTCACACTGAAACAGACACAGACGACTTAATCCAGATTTCATCAACCAGGTATCAACCAAAGATGTCTCTCGGAAACTAAAGGAGACTGTGCGGCTCTGACCATATAAGCCTTTATGTCTCATTTGTTCACCCAAAATATCCCCCCCCCCCATTTTTTTTCACTTTAACCCTTTGCCCTGCGACCTAGAAAAATAACCCATATTTTTGGGGGGAATTTCAAGATTAAAAAAAAAAAAAAACAATTTGTTAAAATAAAACAACTATTTTACCTAGGTCCACACACAAAAATCCTGACAATTCTTTTTGTATAAACCAAAAATATATTAATTTCTATTAAAAAAAGATGAGTAATTAGTAAACAAGAATGTAGCAGGAATGAACTTACTTACCACACTGTCATTATTAAAAACATTTATACAGTGTCTGATACTTGATCTGCTAATCCGCTGGCTGGGGAACCACTAACGGTAATGGGATATTATGACCTCATAATTTCTATTCAAATAGCTGTTTGTTCACAAGGAAACCCCCTTTAAGTGCTATTTTTAAATAAATGCGACCTATTCCAGTGCTCAAGAACATTTGCGCAGAAGTCTGTAAAGCAACATGTACAGGGAATTGAATCCAACCGGGAGTGTCGATTTTGTGACTTTTTAGGGGGTGTCAGGGTTAAATGAGTGACTGCTCACCTCATGTTTGGTATAGTCTTGTATCTCTCATTACATTTTAATCTAGTGGTTAACATTTAAGATTTAACGAACATACATGGAAAAGTTTTGTTTTGTTTAGGTATAAACAGGGTAAAATAAAACCAAATAATATGTAAAAGTTAATAAACGCGAGACGCTAGCAATAAGCAGAAACATTCAGCATCCCTGTGACAGAAAAAATTGTTTTTTGACAGCAATGCAAACTGCCTTGGAAAGGACATCTAGCACACCTTAGATTAATGGTTTCCAATAGTTAAACATCTGTGAACCCCATGTATTTTTTAAAGGTCTACCACAAACCCCATACCTTTTAATAGTCATTATAAAAATGTTTTTTTTTTTTAAGAAGGGAAATTTACACAAACCTTTAAAAGGGATTACGTTATAAAGATGGGGATTTAAAAAGAAAGAAACTAACCCATTGAATTCATTTCGTATGACCTCCCGGGGTTCACGAACCACCAAATGAGAAAAACTGGCTTAGGTAAACAAAAAACACATGAAGCATTACTCCAAGAAACAGAAACAAAATGCAAACTGTTAGAGAAATCACATGCAGGCAGTTACTGTTTTGGAGAACTAAAACAATCAGTAATAAACTACACACATTCATTAACTGGAACCTGTGTAGAAAGAACAGGGAGAAATCAATGGTATGGCAGAAACATAAACGCTGAACTCTGAGACAGATCAACAAATTTTAGGGAATCAAGAGTTCAGGAAAATCACTAGTGGCGGACAGGATGATAAAGTGAAAAGCTGATAACAGTTTCACAGGAACCCTCAAGGCCAGAGAGGTAGACCTAAAAAAACAATTATTTACTTAATTAGGGGGAAAAAGAGAGAAACATGAATAACAAGGGGCCGACATTGAGGTAGCTGAAGAAACAATTAAATAGGACAGACTGGTGTTAGTTAGCTGAGGGTCTATACTCCTATGGAGGGATGAAAGGCAGAATAATATTATTAGTTGTAGAAGACTAACAAATTAAAAGAGGACAATCCAAAAATAATCTGTCTTCAATTCAACAAATAAGATATTCAAACCTTCTTCTATCCGCAGAGGGGTTGGACTGGGAGCGCTGGCGGTATCGCTGTCATCACCGTTATCCTCGTCATTCTCATCATCACTGGACGACACCTCCTCCTCAGACCCAGCTGTCACTGTAGAAGTGATGCTCTCACATGTTGATATTGTGCGACGATCACCGCCCTAGCAGAGATAGTAAACATTTGGTTACCAAAAGGAACCTGACTGAGGAGAAAGAGGAGGAGAAGAAGAAGAAAAGGAAAAAGATAGTGTAAACATCTTGTAAATGTAACACACTAGCACAACAGACAACAAAGCTAAAGGAGTAACTGTTTCACACTAGCACAACAGACAACAAAGCTAAAGGAGTAACTGTTTCACACTAGCACAACAGACTGAAGGAGTAACTGTTTCACACTAGCACAACAGACTGAAAGAGTAACTGTTTCACACTAGCACAACAGACTGAAGGAGTAACTGTTTCCCACTAGCACAACAGACTAAAGGAGTAACTGTCTCACACTAGCACAACAGACTGAAGGAGTAACTGTCTCACACTAGCACAACAGACTGAAGGAGTAACTGTCTCACACTAGCATAACAGACTGAAGGAGTAACTGTCTCACACTAGCACAACAGACTGAAGGAGTAACTGTCTCACACTAGCATAACAGACTGAAGGAGTAACTGTCTCACACTAGCACAACAGACAACAAAGCTGAAGGAGTAACTGTCTCACACTAGCACAACAGACTGAAGGAGTAACTGTCTCACACTAGCTTAACAGACTGAAGGAGTAACTGTCTCACACTAGCACAACAGACAACAAAGCTGAAGGAGTAAGTGTCTCACACTAGACTAGCACAACAGAATGAAAGAGTAACGGTCTCACACTAGCACAACAGACTGAAGGAGTAACTGTCTCACACTAGCACAACAGACAACAAAACTGAAGGAGTAAATGTCTCACACTAGCACAACAGGCTGAAGGAGTAACTGTTTCACACTAGCACAACAGACAACAAAGCTGAAGGAGTAAGTGTCTCACACTAGCACAATAGACGGAAGGAGTAACTGTTTCACACTAGCACAACAGACTGAAGGAGTAACTGTCTCACACTAGCACAACAGACTGAAGGAGTAACTGTTTCACACTAGCACAACAAACAACAAAGCTGAAGGAGTAACTGTCTCACACTAGCACAACAGACAACAAAGCTGAAGGAGTAACTGTCTCACACTAGCACAACAGACTGAAGGAGTAACTGTCTCACACTAGCATAACAGACTGAAGGAGTCTCACACTAGCATAACAGACTGAAGGAGTAACTGTCTCACACTAGCATAACAGACAACAAAGCTGAAGGAGTAACTGTCTCACACTAGCACAACAGACAACAAGGCTGAAGGAGTAACTGTTTCACACTAGCACAACAGACAACAAAGCTGAAGGAGTAAGTGTCTCACACTAGCACAATAGACTGAAGGAGTAACTGTTTCACACTAGCACAACAGACTGAAGGAGTAACTGTCTCACACTAGCACAACAGACTGAAGGAGTAACTGTTTCACACTAGCACAACAAACAACAAAGCTGAAGGAGTAACTGTCTCACACTAGCACAACAGACAACAAAGCTGAAGGAGTAACTGTCTCACACTAGCACAACAGACTGAAGGAGTAACTGTCTCACACTAGCATAACAGACTGAAGGAGTCTCACACTAGCATAACAGACTGAAGGAGTATCTGTCTCATATTAGCATAACAGACAACAAAGCTGAAGGAGTAACTGTCTCACACTAGCACAACAGACAACAAGGCTGAAAGAGTAACTATCTCACACTAGCACAACAGACAACAAAGCTGAAGGAGTAACTGTCTCACACTAGCATAACAGACAACAAAGCTGAAGGAGTAACTGTCTCACACTAGCACAACAGACAACAAGGCTGAAGGAGTAACTGTCTCACACTAGCACAACAGACAACAAAGCTGAAGGAGTTACTGTCTCACCCGATCCTTGTACTCTTCAACAATGGCTTCCAGGTTCAACTTTTTCTTGTAGTTGAAGAAAAAATTCTTGCACTGAGCTTCTGTTTTGGTCTCCACCATGATGGCGATGGCAGCCCAGTCTTTGCCATGTTTGCCCAAACCTGTACGGAAGCAGATTGGACACAAAGTTCAAGAGAAGAATTGTGAATATTGGCAGACCCACTAAAGGATGTTTATTCATGCCACCCTGAGAAATCCCCAAAACTGATATTTTCATTACCGCCACATTCTTGTAAAGGAAGCAAAACAAGCATTGTTTCTGAGAAGCATAGTTGAATATCATTGGTTCTGTAGGCTCTTGCACAGCATTTAAGAGGCATGGATATGAATATATTTACTAAAAATAGCATTCAGGGGGATTTTCTTGTGAACCAAATGACATTTTTTAAAGCCATTCTGAAGTCATTTTTTCCAATAGCTTCAGGAACAGAGGTCACGGGGTTATAGTATGAGCCACCTGATATATATACATACTAACTGCCCGGCTCTCTAGCGTAGTTGGCTAAACTGGACTGCGCGGTGACCAGGTGACGAACTCCTTGCGGTCCGGATTCACGCCCGGGGGTAGGCAGAAAAGCTACATTTCTCCCAGATTGACGGTATTTATCATGGAATCAAGGCCGAAGGGTTCCGATGTCCATAATACCGAGGTTACTAAAGGTTAACAACTCCTGGCTTCTGAACACTAAGAAAAAAAAAAAATAAGCGCTGTGGAATGTTTTCCATTCACTGCTTCACTCTGTATTTATTAATTACTTCTTTTATATATCTTTTAAATATTTCAAAACATTTATAATAACGTTAATGTATTTTTAAAACATTTATTAATGACCTGTGCAGGATGCTGAACATAAAATGTGATGAATTCAAGATGGCTGAAGAAATGAAGAAATGTTTAGGCAATCACAGGAAACAACAGTTACAAAACATTAAAACTGGCACTTTACTGGACATATCCCGAGAGGAAACAAGCAGAGGATCATCAAACCGGTACTAAACTGGGAAATAAAGGGATTGAGAAGGTGAGGGTGCCAACAAACAAACAAAAACTCTAAAATGAACGATGAGAGAAGCAAAGATACTGGATTGATTTTCATCTATGAAACTGAACTGACTGAACAGGGCAGAAGAGAATGGAGGAACAGACAGCGAGTCCCCTGTGACATATAATACAAAAACAAGATAATGAATGAATGAATGTGTAGAATGGATGTTTTTTTAAAAGAGGATTTAAAAAAAATATATTTCCAATCGGTTCATCATCATCATCATCATAAACCACTTCTGGCGTTAAGCGTCGTGGGGAGAAATAATTTGCGATCCAGTGCATGCTGACTGCCACTGGATAATGTCATGTTGGAATAAATATGCTGTCTATAATCTGTCTCTTTGCACTCATAGTTATGCTTGGATGTCTAATGGTGACAGTCCGTATATAAGTGCACTTGCTGTCTGTCATCTGGTTTCTATTTCTCTGTCAATTCTACCATCTTCCGTGATCATACTTCCTAGATATTTAAACTCCCTAACTTGATTCAGGACAGAACCATTCAGCTGTATGTGTAGTGGGCCAGGGGTTCTACTAACTTGTATTGTTTTGGTTTTGTTTGCATTGTTCTTCAGGTTGTATTTACTGCATGCTGAGTTTAACCTGTTTATGTGTTCTTGCAGTGGCATTCTATTTTATAGACCACATAGATAAACTAACCAACAGGACATAAATCACTGGCAGTCTGTTTTATAGACCACAGAGATAAACTAATAAATAGAACAGAAGAAAACACTAGCAGTCTATTTTATAGACCACAGAGATAAACTAATAAACAGGACAGAAATCACTAGCAGTCTATTTTATAGACCACAGAGATAAACTAATAAACAGGACATAAATCACTGGCAGTCTATTTTATAGACCACATAGATACACTAACCAACAGGACAGAAATCACTGGCAGTCTGTTTTATAGACCACAGAGATAAACTAACCAACAGGACAGAAATCACTGGCAGTCTGTTTTATAGACCACAGAGATAAACTAATAAACAGATCAGAAATCACTGGCAGTCTATTTTATAGACCACAGAGATAAACTAATAAACAGGGCAGAAATCACTGACAATCTGTTTTATAGATCACAGAGATAAACTTATAAACAGGACAGAAATCACTGGCAGTCTGTTTTATAGACCACAGAGACAAACTAATGAACAGGACATTTGAAAATTTAAAAAGAAAAGGAAAAGAAACCTAAAGAAACAGACCATCTTAGATTACCTTGCTCATGGTTTGCCGGCCATAGGCAATATGTTGGCCACCTCTGCCAAATAGCATGGTCTCTCGGCAGCTGCCACATGTGTTGTGGTTTACAGCTAAACTGTGATAGACACTCCCTTCAGTTCAACCAAACCAATTTCAGCAATCCATTTCTATGACATGCTTGTTAAGGGGCAATGAGCTAATTCCTAACCCCCTCCCCCCCCCCCTTCTCTCTCTCTCTTTCCAACTAAAACAGAGCCTCAGAACACAAAGGATTAATCAACACCTCTGTTAGAGAAAAAATTCTTCAGAGCAGAAACAGAGAAGAAGAAAATGACAAAACTGCCCCTCATGCAATAGGCAGCTGACAACTAATAATCAATGTCGATAATCTACAAAACTTTATAAGCACAGAAAACACTGGCTTACCTTTCTTAGCTCTGTCCATTTCCTCTTCGGTCCATCTGGAGTTTTCTGCTGAATCTGAAAGATATCACAAAGCGAACTGTAAATGCTGGCCTACTAATCTAAAAGGTATAACAGAGCAACCTCTAAATGCTGGCCTACTAATCTAAAAGGAATAACAGAGCAACCTGTAAATGCTGGCCTACTAATCTAAAAGGTATAACAGAGCAACCTGTAAATGCTGGCCTACTAATCTAAAAGGTATTACAGAGCAGCCTGTAAATGCTGGCCTACTAATCTAAAAGGTATAACAGAGCAACCTGTAAATGCTGGCCTACTAATCTAAAAGGTATAACAGAGCAACCTGTAAATGCTGGCCTACTAATCTAAAACGTATAACAGAGCAACCTGTAAATGCTGGCCTACTAATCTAAAAGGTATTACAGAGCAGCCTGTAAATGCTGGCCTACTAATCTAAAAGGTATAACAGAGCAGCCTGTAAATGCTGGCCTACTAATCTAAAAGGTATAACAGAGCAACCTGTAAATGCTGGCCTACTAATCTAAAAGGTATAACAGAGCAGCCTGTAAATGCTGGCCTATTAAATCTAAAAGGTATAACAGAGCAACCTGTAAATGCTGGCCTACTAATCTAAAAGGTATTACAGAGCAGCCTGTAAATGCTGGCCTACTAATCTAAAAGGTATAACAGAGCAGCTTGTAAATGCTGGCCTACTAATCTGAAAGGTATAATAGAGCAAACTGTAAACTGTGCTAGTCAAATGTATTCGCAACATTTTTTTCAAAACCCACATCTCAGTTGCCTCCAAACTTTTCCTAATTTAAGAAATAAACAGAAAAGGAAAATAAACTTTAAATACATCAGCACTTGCAGAAAGAAGTACAAAAATTGAAGGACACACTTGACAACTTCAGAAAAAAAAAAAAAAAAATCAAAAGCTACAGTTGTCATGCCAGGAATCAATTTACCTATGTCCTGGCCATCACTGGTGCTTTCAGCCGGCCCAGAAGCCACTTCTGGAGCTGCAGAAGTGGCGCTTGATTCCGCTGCTTGAGCTGTGCTGCCCAAACGTCGCAGGATGCGGTTAAAACATGCAGAGCAGCATTTAGAGATGTCCTCCTTGAGTTCTATGAAATAAACAAGGCAATTATTATTTATTATTATCGAACACCGGCTGTGAATTCCAGTGGAAGGTCCCGGTTAATCGTCCGCTTGGACTTTTGGCTTTCACCTGGACCTGATTTTTGCGTGTACAACCGTTTTTAATTTCCTTGCCTCTTGGGCAGCTGTACGCCGACTTCGAAGGAAGACGTCAGGCCTATTTCTAGGGTGACTGTGGCCATTGTTTTGTGTGGGTCGAGACGTTGCCTAATTTGTGTGGTGTCCATTTTGTCTCCTTCGCCGCAGGTATTGCCCCCAGAGTACTCCTTTGGGCAGCCCCCTGTGGAACAGTTGGCCCTCAAGGGAAGGCAGGGGCAGATCATGAGCATTCCCCGCCATCCAAGGAGGCTTCCATGCATGCAGAGCCGGCACATATTGCTCTGATTCTGGGCTCACCCAAGGAATCGTCACGTCCTGCACATGCCTGCTTAACCTCACAACCGTATCAGGCCTCCCACTCGACAGGGGCTGCGCCCTCTGGAAGTCAGCGGGGAGCAGCCCGTGGGTTTTGGACTTTTGTGACCACACAGATAGGTACATTAGCCTGACAGAATTTCACATCCTGAATCAGGCGTATCGTTATCAGTTTTGTCCCAACACTCGGGCGAGTGGGGTCTTTGGTGTGGATATTTGGTCTTTTTCAGTTCAGTGCAAATTTTGATGGTCAGATTTTGATCCGTATGATCTAGTTTTGTCGGACATTTAGGCTTAGCCATCCGATGGATGGTTGCTGTTGTGGTGTACCCCAGCTCGGTGACGACGACGCTGAGGGTTAACCGAGGATGTACGTGAATGGCCAGCCTATGGATGGTTGCTGTTGTGGTTGTACCTCAGCGCGGTGACGACGACACTGAGAATTAACAGAGGATGTGCAGTGAGCAATGATCTCTTTACTCAGCAGTCTTTTAACCAAGGGTTGTAATTTTAGCTGTATGTTTGTCAACCCTACTCATGTTCCTAATGAGTTTTGATAACATTTTTCACCCAAGCGTTTGGGGGCGGGCTGATGAGAGCCACAAGGACACATCACCTCTGGGGGCCGCCAAACTCCGAGATCCCCTGACAGCTCTGTTAATGCTCATTTGAGACATTATCCGTGGCGCACGACGAGGACGTGCTGTAGGGGTCTTGCGTGAGGTTCCGTACAACCAGGATAGTGAAGGACTGGCGCCCGAGTGACGTACGGAGTATCTCCTTATACACATCATGTTGGACTTAACTTCCCCTCACGCCTGTGACATAAATCACCGCGCCACAACAAGGCAATATGTTAAAACAAGATATCGTAGTGAAACAAGACACTGTGGTTCCCCGTGTGGGTTCTGGGGCCCTATTATAGAGAAAACAAGAATAGACCCACTGCCTACCCAAAAGCATGTTGTAAGAGTCAACTAATGGGGAGCTTCCTTCAAAGTCGGAGTGCATCTGATAGAGAGGCAAGGAATCAACAGTCTGCGTACGAATTAGATCTGTCAAACGGATGCACACGCAACACTCAGATTCTGGAACAGGACTGCAGTCCAGAAGTAGACGAACAACCAGAAATTTCCGCCGGAGTTTACAGATAGTGAAAGCGAAGCAGAAGAAGAAGAAGACACTGTGGTGAAACAAGACATTGTGGTGAAACAGACACTGCCATGAGATAAGATAAAACACTGTGGTGAAACGAGACACTGGTGAAAAAGACACTGCGGTTAAACAAGACACTGCAGTGAGACAAGACACTGTGGTGAAACAAGACACTGTGGTGAAACAAGACACTGCGGTTAAACTAGACACTGTGGTTAAACAAGACACTGCAGTGAGACAAGACACTGTGGTGGAAACAAGACACTGTGGTGAAACAAGACACTGTCATGAGACAAGAGAATATGGTGACACAAGATATGGTGAAAAAGGACACACGGATGATAAGTATGTCTTTTAATATCTTATTTCTATCTCTCAGTCAAATTATTTGTCTTTTGTAAGAATACTGCCTAGATATTTTTAAAAAAAAAAACCTCTTCTAGTGAGAACTGAACCCAGACACTCTAATGACACGTTAGAATACTATACAGTATGCCATCTTCTATATGGATGTTTTCTTACTCTCACATCATATCTTTTTAGTTGGTAATTTTATGGCTGCATTTTAACAAGATGACCAAACCATTTCATCTTCTGCTTTTCAATGAATCTGGTGCAAGGTGTTGTTTTCTCTACAAAATGTCTGATAGCATCATTCCTCATTTAACCTTAGATGGCTACACTGGGGGTTTTCCTTGGGCACCTCATCTCTTACATGTTCAGTTTACATAGGTGAGCCTTTAATAATCTCCTGGTTTGACACTGGTTGCCCAGTTCTGGTATCAATATGCTGTTTATAATCTGCTGTCTGACAGTCATACTTAGTTTCAATGTCTTGACCTTCATCTTAAAATCCATTCTATCCACAACCTTCTGTCTCGTGTTCTTTAAATCAACTCTGACACAAAAGATCTTCCATGCAATGATGTCAAACTGTCCAGCATCTTTTCCCTCGGTCTCCCTCTGCCTCTCCTCCCCTCCAACTTTCCTACTCAATGTCTTAATAATGGTTTAAAAAAAATATGTTTAAAAAAAAATTAAAATTTTTAAACTTACGGAGTTCTTGCATGACGGTACTCTTCATTTCTGCAGCTAAATCATGCCAGACTGCTGGGACGGGTCTCAGTCTCTTGGTCCTCTTTCGAGGAGTACGGCATGTTGGGATTGGGCAGCTGCAAAGAAAGTTTTTTTTTGGGTTATTTACATTAGAGAGAGCATACAAGGCAGAAAGCTACAATTGAAAAAAAAAAGAGAATTTAAAAAAAAACAAGATTCTTCCTCTTTGAATTCTCTTTCCCGATGGTTTTCAGATAAGAAGGCCACAGTGCTGTATGATGGCTTTGCTGTGAGGCATGTCCTCCATTGACCCATACAGTTTGATTTCCACTGGAATGTTAACTGGCCTGACCAGGCCCTAAGTCTTGGCTGGCAGCTGGTCCAGGACAGAAGATCCGACAGCTGGACAGAGAGATCACTGTTCTTCTCATCCAGGAGCTTCTCCATGCTTTGTTCTGAATGTACTGTGTTACCTTTCCACTGAAGTTAACAAAGCAGGCTGAGGGACGGATCATGCTGCATGGGCAAAACTTGGTCTCTCTACTATACCGCCGAGACTGTGCTATGGAAGAGGAGGAATGTCATCCCTGGACTTACATGGACTGTGATTTCTATGCCCTCCCTTCCAGCACAATGGAATACTGTCATCTGGGAAGACAGAAGGATGAGAAAAGTCAAAGGAAAAAAAAAGTAATGACTGGGAGTCAAAATATATACATACTGAGTAAATCGTTTGCGCACTGTACGGCAGCGGCAGGAACTGCACACCCTCATGTCCACCTGGAACTCACAGACAAGCACACCATACTGCTCACAGTTACCGGAGGTCAAAGGTCGACTTAAGCCATAGTCAGCCAGTTCAACTTTGCACACCGCACAATTGTGAACTCCTCCTGTGAACAAAAACAAGGTGAGCAAAATGTTATGTGAACAGAAAAAAGTCCAATTCATCCCAACATGTGTTACAATACAGAATATCTATTCATCACCTTCTTCTTAACGTTCAGCGGCTGTAAACTCTGGCAGAAAGTTCTGGCTGTTCGTCCACTTTTGGATTTTACTCTTCCTCTGAAATCTGAATTTTATGTGCATATCAAATGAAAAATCTGGCTAAATAATTTATACTGCACTGTTGGTTCCCCGTCTCTCAGATTTCGAAGGAAACAACCCTAACTGGGCATTTTATATGACAAACTTGGTGGGGGAGGGGGGGGGGAGATATACCCCCCTCCACCAAAGTCCCAGAACACTCACATGTCAATGTCTATTCTCTAAGTATGAGATCTCTAAACTGCCATCTTCCCCAGCAGCTTCAATCTTAAATATGTTTGGCTATGATCAGCCTCTATCTCCTGACCTTGTGTCCCTCCATCTTGTAACCTTTACTATGAGAAGTGAGGCTGAAACAAACATGGTGACCTCTGCTTACCTTCGGTTTCTGTTTGCGCCATTTCCCCATCAGAGACGTCTGCATCCCCTCCCACCCTTTCTTTGACTTCCTCCTTCACGTCTTTCTTTAATCTGGGGAAAAAAAGTATTATTCAATATTTGTTTTATGTCCTCTTGGTGAATAACAGATGAGTCAGTTCTTTAAGAAGCAGATAACAACTGAAAATTGAAGGAGAAATTTGATGTAGAGACAAGTATTTTTTTTAAGCATATTGTGTGTTTATAATTGTGATATAGACAGAGAGAGAAAGAGAGATGGGGGAGGAGGGGGAGAAAAAGAGAGATAGAAAGGGAGAGAAAATGCAGACTGATAACACTGAAGATGTACATTCACAAGGTGCCAAAAATCAAATGCAAGTCAACTAACAAATCCTCCCCACGATGCTTGACAGCAAAAGTGAAAGAGGATGATGACTTACCAACTTCAATTTGCTGATTACTGCCAGAAACTATCATGCAAAAATGTCAGTCCAAATGAGAACTAGTCAACTTCACAATATCAAAGTCAAGAATGAGTAAATGAAAGCTGCAGCCAGAAAGCTTTTATCAGCAAATAACGCAGACAGTGTTACCCAAAAAAAAAAAAAACATAGCATCACTCAGCTTTACGGTGAGACATATCACAAAATATCCATCTCACATTACCTATTTGTCCAGAGAAGCTGCAAAACTGACACTTATGGTTGGGACAAATTACCCCTAAATGTCACTTTTCCAACTTGTCTATAGTGACCTGTTTACGGGTCACAGAGTTAATACCATTGGCTGTTTTCACACCTGCGCAATTGTTTAGGAGGTCAGGATTTAAATATGTTAACTAGAAATAGCATAGGGGGGGGGGGGGGGGGGGGGGGGGGGGGTGTGTCCCCTATGAGCCAAATAGCTTTATAAAGCCAAGCTGACATAAAAAATTGTCCATAAACCTAAACGACGAGGTCACAGGGTCATGACATGAGTCAACCAATACATAATGTTTTTTAAGGCACCAGAGAATGAAGGTCATTTACTGCTTTACCCTGTTCATGCTTATTGATTACCCCCTTCATATAAATACACACACACACACACACACACACACACACACACACATATATATATATAAACATATATATATATATATAATATATATATATATATATATATATATATATATATATATATATATATATATATATATATATATAAACATTTTAAATTAATTTATTAGTGAAGTATGAAAAAAAAAATTCTGTGAATTCCAATGGGTTCATGACCCATTTTCTTTTGCAAGAGAATTAAACAGTTGAGGCTCTGTGCAACATTTATCACTGCAAGAGTTGGATACCAGGCAGCTTAGAATGTTGACCAGGGACTGTAGGCCACGACTTACCCTTCTGCAGTCTGTCCATCAGACATGGCAACATCTTCGCTGGCACTTTCTTGTTTGACCTCAACCTTAATGGTGACACTACTGCTGCCTCCAGGAATACTGCCCGCTGTTGTCTCCTCCTGCTGTTTTTGCTGCTGCTGCTGTCGCAATTGCTCCTGCTGCTGTTGCTGTTGTTGCTGCTGTTGCTGCCGCAGCTGTTCTTGCTGCTGAAATAATGAAGGCATGTTGTGAGAATCTTTAAAAGTGTCAAGCATTTGAATGTTTTGGAAATGACCTGCTACATGATGAGACTATGATGACATAATCATGAAGCAGGCCCTTTGCAGAATGCCAATGTGTTCACTTATATCCTGTGCCCACCTTTGTGCTGGTTTTTTCCTGCCCCTATTTCCTGGTACCATGCCTTCTGCTATTAACTTTTCCAATCCGTGACGGTGCTTGATACAGCCAAACTATTTCAGTCTTTAAGACAAAATGCTGTTGACTAGTAAATATTCCTTAATTTTCAGATCCTTTAGAATGTTATCATTTTTTCCGTCTTTATCTATGGTATTTGAGCACACTGCCTAACAAATTAGTTTGAAGTTATTGTTTTGAGAACTATTGGGCGCCTTTATAATTTTTTTTAAAATACTATGACTCATATCTGTATAGACCAATCAGCATTCAGTAGATAATAGGGGTCAACATCCCACCTGCCACTTTTACTTCCCAGGTCATTGCCTGATACCCTTTTTAGGCTGGGCTGACAATGATTGTTTGAAAGAAGCTAATGAAAGTAGATTTCTATATACAACAATAAGGAGACAAACTGTTCTTTAGCCACGTAATGAGAAGTGAGGCCTTGGAAAACATTGTGACAACTGGAAAGATCAGTGGAAAAAGGGGTAGAGGCAGACCTAAAGAGATAATGCTGGATGGGCTGAAATGATGGCATGGAGGGATATGATCAAGAGAGCTGTTCCAGGCAACCAGAGATCGTGATCTGTGGAGATGCATATGCACCGACACCAACGGGGCAGGGCACATGATGATGATGATGATGATGATGATGATGACTTGGGGTCCAGGTCAATTTTTAGAAAAAACATCTGCCTCCATGTGGATTCGCACCCAAAATGTATCTGAGATAGGCAAGTTAAAGTGTGCTCTGTCCATTTATCTCACTGTACTGTCAGTTTATACAGTCCCACAAAACACAACAAGAAATGTGGCGCGGGGGAAAAAAACAATGAGAGACAATGATTTAGCAACGAAGAACTAAGAGTAATGGTAGACATATTACCAGTAAATTATTCAATAAAACATGAAAAATGAAATGGTTTGGCCACCTGGTCAGAATAAAACAAAACCAGCCAGCAGCTAAAGCGTACTACATGAGAACAGCAGGCTGCAAGGCAAGAGGCCGACCAAGAAAGATATGGGTGGAGGAAGTAAAAGTGACACTAAAGAAAGGTTATATGACATTAACACAAGCTTTGCAACTAGCAGAAGACAGGAAACTACATCTAACTCCTCCCTGTGACACTTTACAGCTTAAACAGTAGAAACAAAAGAAGAAAAAGAAAGAGGTTGTCAGACTATATTCAAATATGAACGAAAGTTGCACTTACCTGAGCTTTGGTCATGTTTCTCTTCCTTTTCATGTTCTGCTTTCTCAGCATCTGTTTGTAGTTCTCGCTTTTCTTTGTCAGGTAGTAGAACTGGACACAGTCTGGGACACTCTGGCAGTGATAGAGAGGAGAGAGGGAGAGACAGGTGAAACAGACAGGTAGATTTAACAAAACTGTTATATTATAACAGAGAATTATAACAGATAATAAGGTAATTGCAGTTTAAATGTCACAGCAAGCGGATCACCCCATAGTTACTCTGCTGCCGTGCCAGCAACAACCCCACAGAATGCACATAGCCGTCCATTGCAAGAAACCTGAAACAAACTGCAGTCTCAGCAAAGCCAATAGCACACTCACACATTAAAGGACAAGGCAGCCATCAGAAGTAAAAATACAAAAGTCCATCACTAGAAATGCAGTTCATCATCAATGTATCAATGTAAGCAGCAGGTAATCAGTAAATTGCACATTGTTGTGTGCTAAACTCACTTTGCTATTCAACTGTACCAGAGGTCAGAGGCGTGATCGCCTACACCAGTGGTAAAGACGTTAGATGATGATGATAATGACAGAGATGAGTGCAAAAAGTCCATGCTACTTGACGCGTGAGACAAGAGTTTCCACAGGTATTGCAAGACTCAAGTGTGACCAGCCACTGAGCTGAAGGTGAGCCTGTGTTCAGTCGGTGCCTCTCAGTCAGTCTTAGTGTGCGGATGTGTTTGTGCATGTGTTGTTAGAGACCAGTGTGTTTTTTTTCTGTTGGAGCTCATGTGAATTGCCTAATGGATTTGGGGGATCGTGAGATAGACTTAGGAATTCTATCTGTGTAATTTCCAGAATGGACGGTTGTGTGGCCCATGTGTTGGTGGGGTCGGAACTGTTGTAGCTATGGACACATAGTTGACAGGGGTATCTGTAAGGGCACGGAAGGTGCCGGAAACCTTTTGTGTGTTAACTAACATAGAGTACAATTTCGGAAAAGTATCCGAGGCTGACTGACAGAATGGTAGGTAGCAGACTGCTGTCTGGATTTCTTTTTCGCTTTTTTTTTCTCACTTTATGATGCATCTAGCTTAAACCCTTAGACTGATGGGTCCATCGGAGGGACAGCCATCAGGGGGTGGTCACTGTACATCACATAGGTGTGTCAGCGCGGTCGGGTGTCAGTTGTCCCTAGCAGGCACCTGGGACAAATTTCGCTGGGATGTTCGTCCACATCTGGAAATACTGCTGAGGTGAATATTTTTAAAGGCAGTAGAAGACTTGAGGGTGCGCACTCATCAATCCAAACATTCACCCAGTTAGACATAGTTTGCTGGGGTGTTTGTCCATGTCTGGAGTGACTGCGGATATGAATATTTGGGAAGGCAGTAGAAGGCTTGGCGGTGCGCACTGATCAATCCACATATTCACCCAGTTTATAACATTCGTCATAATGTCTTTCGTAACACACATACAATTAATTAATCACACAAGTCACCACCAGTTCTGTGGCAATATGCCACTTTTCTGAATCCGAGGTCACAAAACAAACACCGTTGGGCACAGCAAAAAAAAAAAAAAAGCATTTCAAATGCAATCTGCAGACCCAATCAAAACTTTCTGCCGCAGTTTACAGCAGTGAATGCTAAGAAGAGGAAGATATGATAGGTTACGGCAAGTAAGGATAGTCCTACGGGAGAAAATGATATACATACAAATAAGAGAAGGTCAGGACAAGCTGACAGGCAAGGGGACACCGCAGGAGGTTGTGAAAGTGTATGGCAGGTTAAGTCAAGTTTACAGTGGCCTAATTGGGTTTATAAAAGGGTAAAATAGGTTTTGTAGCAAGCTAAAATATGTTTTTAACAGGCTAAGACAGGTTTATGTCCGGTTAAGATAGGTTTATAACAAAGCAAAATTTGTTTACATGATATGCTTATAACAACCTGAGACAAGTTTATGTCTGGCAAAACAAGTTTATTAAATGGTTAAAAACAAGTTTATCTTTAAGCTAAGACATGTTTAAAGCAAGTTTATTACAGACTAAGACAGGTTTATGGAAAACTAAGACAAGTGTATCACAAGATAAAAATACATTTATAGCCAGCTAAGACAGGTTTACCTTCTGTGGCAGGAAAGATGAAATTGCCACAAAGTTTTTGGGGTTCTGCAGGTATTTCTCCTTGAAGATCTGCCTCTCCTGTTCAGTCCATCGGGCAGTGTGGTTCTGTGCGCTCTTTGTGGACCTCTAGAGCGTCCTCCAGCAGGCCGTTGTTGTTGACAAAGCGCATCTTGCGCTGCCGAGCATCAAGCATCATCGGGGGGATCACCGACAGGCTTCTCATCTTCTTTTCTTCCTCCTGCAATTAAAGATTTTCTAGTCACGACGCGCGAGAACAGTTTAATATAAAAACTGACTGACCGGAATAACTGACACATAAACAGCGCAACATACAACTGACACAAAATGGTGAAAAAAGGTAAAGTCGGAAGATGTGAACCAGCGCCATTGCACATGGTTGTAAACCATAAGCGCTCTGCCACCAGTACTGACAGCTGATAAGAAACTGCTTGCCTGTGTCGCCGTCCGCCTATGTCGCCGTCCGCCCGCAACTCCGTAGCTACAGCGACGTTCCTCCATTTACCCTAGAGTATTAATTCTGGTACCCATTTCCTAGAGGCTGGGTAAAACCCCGGGAACCGTCCGGTTTCAAACACCAGCCATGGGCTGCAGCAAGTCGCAGCTGGATTTGAAAGTGAGTCTCCTATCAACTGTGCTAACGCTGCTCCTGACAACTGACACATACAACTGAAACATACAGTGTACAATTACCTAGTAGTTCTCAGTGTCTGTGGCTTAGGCACTGCGCAACATTCTTTGTAACTTTTGAGGTGCCAGATCTATCCCAGCTGCAGACAATTTGGCAGCAGACCCCCAAGTGTTGGTTTCAAGAGTGGTATCGAGAGATAATCATTGAAAAAGCCATGGCAAACTACTCAATGTAAAAGTGCTGAGTGAAATCACAAACAGCCAAAAAAATGCTAGGGTTGGCTCAGCAATGTTCTTTAATGGATATGCAACTTACAATTCACACAAACAAGTCATACAAATGAATGACACATACAAATGACAAAAATTACGAGCACATTTTTCTGACACACATGACTGACACAAACATGAGACACACAAATGACCGACACAAATAACTGACACATATGACTGACACAAACATGAGACACACAATTGACCGACACAAATAACTGACACATATGACTGACACAAACATGAGACACACAAATGACCCACACAAATAACTGACACATATGACTGACACAAACATGAGACACACAAATGACCAACACAAATAACTGACACATATGACTGACACAAACATGAGACACACAATTGACCGACACAAATAACTGATACATATGACTGACAAAAACATGAGACACACAAATGACGGACACAAATAATTGACACATATGACTGACACAAATATGAGACATACAACTGACCGACACAAATAACTGATACATATGACTGACACAAATATGAGACACACAACTGACTGACACAAATAACTGATACATATGACTGACACAAACATGAGACACACAATTGACCGACACAAAGGAGTGACAAATGGCTTTCAATAAACGTTAGAAATGAGAGATGTTGGTGTTGCTCAGCCTTATTTATGTTTGTGTCTCAAGTTTCTTAAGAACCACCTTATCTTTCTAATGGGTTTCAACTCGCCTAAGGATTAACATCCAACACATCTAATATATTTAGGTTATGGCTCTTTTTGCTGACTAGTATTCAGTTCCTGTATTCACATTCATTTCAGAGCTTCAAATGGCCAGAAAGAAGTGTTTATTTCTTTTGGAGAGACCTCTGTTAAGTTATTTCTGTGTATTCTTAGCTGTAATTGTAACACTGCCTTTTCATCTCATGTGCTGATGAAGGCCTTTCTAGCTGCAGCCTTCAATTTTTGTTTGTGAATGTGACAATGTGAAGCTGACCAATTCTATTTTTTGAGTGACAGACTCAAGTTTGATTATTTTGTTTGTTTAAAATGTCAACAACAGTCACCTCCTGCTCTGTGAGTCCGTCCATGATCTGCTCCATCTCTGCATCACTGCGGACATATCCTCCCTGGCCGGTTCGGGTTCCCTGTTTGCTGCAATCAAAATCAAACCAAAAATGTTTAATGTATCTTATCCTATAATCCCGTCTATACACCTATATCAGCATTCATTCACTTATCTACACATTCTCCTGTCCAACCATCCATCCACTCACCTAAACTGTCAAGCACCCAACTACAAACTAATCCAAAATCAGCTACTGAACTACCCATCCAAGCATTCACACTCTGCATGCCCATTCATTGTTTAGCTCCAACTAGAAGATTTCAATCATTAGTGTTATTTATTTTGCAGTCATCTTGCCATTAAGCTGAACATTTTTTTAAACTTTACAGCCAGTTTGTCATTAAGAAACTATAGTCATTTTGTCAAATTGTAGCTATCTTGTCTTTAAGCAGAATAGTTTTCCCCCTTTGCAGATATCTTGCCATTAAGTAGCTTTTCCACTCTGCAGACATCTTGACATTAAGTAGGATAGCTTTTCCATTCTGCATACATATTGTCATTAAGTAGGATAGCTTTTCCATTCTGCAGACACCTTGACATTAAGCAGAATAGTTTTTCTACTCTCAGCCATCTAGCCATTAATCAGTACAGTTTTTCCACTTTTCAGCCATCTTGCCATTTAGTAGGATAGCTTTTCCACTCTGCAGACATTACATCTTGCTATTAAGCAGAATAGTTTTTCTACACGCAGCCATCTAGCCATTAATCAGTACAGTTTTTCCACTTTTCAGCCAGCTTGCTAATTAGAAATCAGAACAGTTTTTCTATTCTGGAGTAAATTTGTCATTAAGAAACCAGAATAGTTTTTCTATTCTGGAGTAAATTTGTCATTAAGAAACCAGAATAGTTTTTCCACTTTGGGTAATTTTGCCATGCTTACTTGTGACTGTCCTTGTGTAAAGCTGACCTTTTGCACCCTTTCTGACTTATACAAGCACATTCAAAAATTTATTACCTTTCTTTTTCCTCTCGGAGTTTCTTGATCTCTGGAAACACCTTTTCGTAGAATTCTCGCATTCTGGCCTCTTTTGCCCTGCATAACAATTAAAGAAAAATATATTTCAACAGCACATGTGAAACTATTGATTTAATCATTTCGCCCCTGAGAGAAACTGCAAGACCGACAATTCTCGTTGGGACCAATCCTCTGTAAATGTGCTTTACCAACACTGTTTTAGTGGCTTGTTCATGAGAAGACTAGCTAATAGCATTGGTTCTGTTTGCGCCTGTGCCAAAGTTTAGAATGACTGGGAATGATACAATTTGCTAAAAACAGAATTTAGGTGTGATTCTGTTGTTAAAAATGTCTTTTTTTTTAAACTGAAATCATCAGGTCATAATTTCTTATAAGTTATAAACGTAACCTGGGACGGGGTACGAGAGTTGAGAATGAGTCATGATATACATTTTTTAAGCTCAAAGAGATGTAACCCAGTTAATTCTCTACTGCATTTAACTTTACGGATTACTCCCATTATTCTGTGTGAAATTGAAAATTTTTTTTTTTGGTCTATAAATGGAACTGTTTGGATTTTTAAGCAACCTGTGTAAAATGCTTTTTAAAAGGATTTCGTTTCCAGGAATTCAAGAAACAGGGTCACTGGTACTGTTTCTTCAAACTCACCCAGATTAAAGAGTTAATATTCTGTTTCTTTTTCTTCTGCCTCCCCTCTCCCAAATGTTTAGTTGGCTTGCATATATTTTTTCAACAATCCTTTTTTTTTCTCCAGCAAATAATCCCACAGAAGAGATGTTCTGTAGTTTGTTTGCTAGGTCCAAAAGTGAAACAGAAAGACAAAGTTAATGCATGGGTTTATGCAACAGATACACATGTGCCATGAACTAGGTGATCTGAGGGCAGCAAGCATACTCACTTTCTCTTGGAGTTATTCTCAAACTTCTCTGTCTTCTTCAGCCAGGACTGCATCAGCTGATCATAGCGTTCGGTCAAGTAGCGCTCCTGGAAAGGTCAAATAGGTCAGCTCTATAAGTAATGAGGTCAACAAAGGTAACGATCCTGCAGAAATGTATAAACAGAGATCTTTGACAGTGATCTCTGAGATAGAGAAATGTAACAGAGATGAAATAGTGACCTAAAAGTTAGAAGTGTACAGAGGTGGCAAAGTGACTTTTTTGTTACAGAAGTGGATAAATAGAGGTGACACTGTGACCTTTCAGTTAGAGAATTGCATAAACAGAGGTGACATGGTGGGCCTAACCCACAACCCTCCGATCCCCAATCAAGTGTCTAGCGGCTACACCCCTGCAGCTGAGAGTAGAACTAGATGCGACAGATATTGATCTCGGAGCATACTATGAGGGTTCCTGGGCAATTTTAGGGAGGAAAAAGAACAGATTCACCAATACCCCTCCCCCCCTTTCCAAACAAGCATTTGCTGAGGGCAAATCATTATGAATCAGCTGCCAAAGATATTGCAGCCTAGCTGTAAACTACAACACAATATGTCAACTATCATTTTTAAGGCAAACGTAAAGGTAGAACAGGAAGAAGGAGGTGGAGGAGAAGAAAGAGGGGGAGGAGAAGAAGGAGGAGCAGCAGAAGAAGAAGGAGGAAGAAAAGAAGAAGGAGGAGGAGGAGATCTCTGACTTATAGAAGTGCAGATCTGCATGTGAGGTGTTGACCTCAAAGATACACAAGTACCTAACCAGGTACACGATATATCTTTTAAAGACGGACAGTGAAGAAGAAATCATTAGTGACTTTAAAAAAGTAAAAAAAAAGTAAAGATCCCTTTTCACGCCTTTCGGCACATATGGGCAGAGCGTTCCATTTTTTTACAGACCATCAGCACTCTGTGGGTAATGTGGTCAGCATTACGCCGGCTGTCTTTACTTTCCCAGGACAGCCCATCCTGGTACCCATTTTAGGCTGGGCCGACCTGCGACGTCCCATACCACGACAAAAATCCACGCAGCCTGCAGTGGGTTTTGATCGCGGTATGCTGGCTTACGAGTCCGACTCGCAACGCCTTAGCCACGGACGCCGCATTAGTGACTTAACAGGAAATTTAAAAAAAAAAAAAAAACGACTCGCATCAAGCTAAATCAAATAATTAAAACAAGAAGTATATGCATGTATTTTGGGGGTCAGAACTACCTAAAACTTATGTGAAGCTTAGGAAACGCCTCCTACATGGCTGCAGCTGAAACCCAGGCAACTTAAGTGCAAGCGGAAAAGAAGATGGAGCAACAATCGGTTAGCATTAAACATGCTAGCAGGTCAACTCCCGCAGCATAAATATCTAAATTTAACCATGCTTCTAACTGGCATGTCTGCTTCATTTTGTGTGAACCAAGCTGGCAAGTTCACCGTTTATCCTACAGTGCTGCCTGGGTCTCCTTTACCTGTCCTTGTTATTTGGTTTTCATATTTTGTTTCAGGTCTTGGGGGTTGGGGGGGGGGGGGGGTTGTCATTAAGCTCAAATCACTGCTTGTATCTTGGGGAAAATTAGGTGGATGGCCAAATAAAAGATATACCCAATAGAAAAGCATCATCATCATCATGGTGGATAACCATATAAGGTCGCAATTTTAACAGATTTGATCAGCTGGTTATTGTGATTTAATTGTGTTTTTCTGCAAGCCAGCATACATTAAACAGGCACATAGGGCTCATTTTTGTGGGCAAGTCCACTGTTTCCTGAAAACTGTTTTCATGACCTGGCAGACTATGAAGCTAAAGTTTTCAGTAAGGTGGGTAAACTAGCACAATGACAGTCAGGCCATGTCACTGTTAACAGCCTCCTTGGTTAAGTCAACAAGTTCCTGCTGTTTACTTTCCTTATAGGCCTTTGTGTGTGTGCATGTGTGTGTGTGACAATGAGAGAGAAAGAGAAAGCAAGTCAGAGAGAGGGTGAAAGAGGGAGACGAAGGAAAGAAAAAATATAGAAAGAGAAAGAGAAGGATGAAGGCTTGGAGGGAGCAGAAAGAGAGAGAAAGAGAGCTGTACTGATAGATAAAAAATGTTAACATAACATAACCAGTTTCTGGGACTTCTCATCTGCATGGTGGCACTTTGTGTCACCAGATGTTTATTGCTAAATTTCATTCACCCTCTACATCTGTTCTTCAACCTATGCCATGGGCCAGTGAAAATTCCAGGAATGGGGGGGGGGGGGGGGGGGGGGGGGTCACCACAAATTTTCTGCCTAATCATGAAACGTGGTGGGGTAAGTCTCTTTTCTCTTCCAAGATTGCAGACTGTAGGATTCAAACACCTCAGAACAGCCTCAAAATAAATGCTCTAGCCACATCTATCAGATTTACTAACCTATAAGAAGCGGATGGTGTCATTTTACCTGAAAATTGTAGCTTTTTTGACATCAGATAAATATCAAATAAACTGCCCTCTACGTTTGCTTTCATTTCTGTGTTTGCATAGCTGTCGATTGGGCAGTGAAATATTTTCCCCAATCTGGATGGGTCACTGGCATAAAAGGATTGAGAAACACTGATCTACACTGTCTATCACCTTCACCAGTGGTTCCCAAATAGCTGATCCCCAGGGGTTCCAAGAAAACAAAATTCTGGTTCACGATTTCATTTACAAAAATAAAACAAAAACACATATAAAAATGCTACCCTCTTCTATTACTGGTGTTTCCAATACAGATTTATTATTACTTTTTTTTTCAATACCCAAAATATGACTATTAAGAAATATGGGATCTGAGGCCAAACTTTAAAAAAAAATTAGAGTCCATGGCTGTTATCTAACTGGGAACCACTGTGATTTACAATAATCTACCGTCACCTCCCTTCCCCCCCCCAACCCAACCGAGGCCTGAGTGTTTCAAAGCAGTGTCAGCTGTCTGGCCTGCTGGTTATGAAACTGAGCATACAAGGCACACATGACCAGGCAGGCTATTGGGTACAGCCACAAGTGTTGTGCACCAGGTGACAGGCACACACAATACAGCTTCAAGCATGTACTCATTAGTCAGGGTTCAACTGCTTTCTCTGTTGTGTGTGCAGCAAGTGTGAGTGTGTGTGTGTGACATAAACAGAGAGAGAGAGAGAGAGGGAGAGAGAGGGAGGGAGGGAGGGAGGGAGAGAGAGAGAGAGAGAGAGAGAGAGAGAGAGAGAGAGAGAGAGAGAGAGAGAGAGAGAGAGAGAGAGAGAGAGAGAGAGAGAGAGAGAGAGAGAGAGAGAGAGAGAGAGAGAGAGAGAGAGAGAGTGACTCTTTCAACACTTTGTTGGATATCTTAATCCATCCTCTCAGCCTGTGCCTCTAATGTGTGAGTGAGTGACAGAGTGAGAGACAATAGTTTGTCCTTTCCTTAAAGACTTGCAGAATAATGGAAATAATTTATCATCACTACTATCATCATGATCCTCATCAAATAATTGTCTCCTGCTAGCTCCTTGAGAATCTAATGTATCAATTCATTTTATAATATTTCTTTTATGAATATCAAGGAAAAAAAGGATGGGTAGTAAAATGCATGTGCACACTCAGATATGTACACCCACATGCCAACGCAAACCTACTGGCTCACTCACTCACACATACTCACCCCTAATCATACATACATCCATACATACATACATTCACACATGCACACATTCATAAACACAGACATACATACATACCTACATGCACACATCACATCAATGCATTCAGACACATACAAGCATCTACAGACACACACACACACATAGGCAGTCTTACACACACAGACATACAGATAGTCACACACTTAGACACAAACACACACAGACAGAGAAACGCGCACAGCCACACACACACACAGATACATACATAAGGCATAGATGCATACAGACACACACATGCATACAGACACAGACATATACACAGACACACACACATAAAGACACACAGACACACACAAAGACAAACATGTAGACACACATACACACTCAAACACACATAAATATAGGCATACATGCATACAGCCACATACATGTACATACAGACACATACAGACACACACAAACACACACAGAGACATTCACACAGTCACACAAACACAGAAATGCACACAAACACAACACACACACATACCAAAACATATACAAACACTTATAGGTGCACATGCATACATTACATGCTTACTCTCTCTAATACATATGTAAATAAACACACATTCACACCAACATTCATACACACATAAAGAAACGCATACACTCACACATACCTATATGCAGGTATACATATACATGCATACAGACACACACAGGCACACATGCAGACAAACACATGGACAGACAAACACACACACAGACATACACAGGCACATACAGACACATGCAGGCACACAAACAAACACAGACACACCTACACGTGTGTGTGCACACACACACACACACACAGAAACACATTTGAACACACACACATGCACAGACACACACACACAGAGAAGCACATACATATATATATATATATATATATATATATATATATATATATATATATATATATATAGTGATCTTTGAGTTACACAATTGTATAAAGAGAGGTGATATAGTGACCTTTGAGTTACACAAGTGTATAAAGAGAGGTGATATAGTGATCTTTGAGTTACACAAGTGTATAAAGAGAGGTGATATAGTGACCTTTGAGTTACACAAGTGTATAAAGAGAGGTGATATAGTGATCTTTGAGTTACACAAGTGTATAAAGAGAGGTGATATAGTGATCTTTGAGTTACACAAGTGTATAAAGAGAGGTGATATAGTGACCTTTGAGTTACACAAGTGTATAAAGAGAGGTGATATAGTGACCTTTGAGTTACACAAGTGTATAAAGAGAGGTGATATAGTGATCTTTGAGTTACACAAGTGTATAAAGAGAGGTGATATAGTGATCTTTGAGTTACACAATTGTATAAAGAGAGGTGATATAGTGATCTTTGAGTTACACAAGTGTATAAAGAGAGGTGATATAGTGATCTTTGAGTTACACAATTGTATAAAGAGAGGTGATATAGTGACCTTTGAGTTACACAAGTGTATAAAGAGAGGTGATATAGTGATCTTTGAGTTACACAAGTGTATAAAGAGAGGTGATATAGTGATCTTTGAGTTACACAAGTGTATAAAGAGAGGTGATATAGTGAGCTTTGACTCTCATTTGGGGGGAGGGGGATTCTGGCTATGTCTGGACCTAACCCACAACCCTCCGATCCCCAGGCAAGTGTCTAACCGCTACACCACTGCAGCCCTAGAGTAGAACTAGATGCGACAGATACATATATATATAGGCGCGCACACACACACACACCGAATCATACAGACATAAACACTCCTACTCATACATACATACATACATACATACATATCACACATGTACATGTCACACATACATACACAAACACCCCTACACATACATACATACATGTCACACAAGTACATGTCACACTTACACGAGCACATACATTTTATACACACATTATCTAATTATAAACTGAAGCAGAAGAAAGAAGAAGCAGCAGCAGAAGCAGAAGGAGGAGGAGGAGAAGTGTGTGCCTGTGAGAATTTCTACAAAACAAGTGGAGACATCTGTCTTCAACCACCCTACAACACCCTCTAGCTACAGATACTTGTCTCAAGACACAATTAGCAGAGGTGAGTAACTTCCCTTTTCTCCCCAAACAAGAAAAACAAAGGGGAACAGGATTTCCTGTTTTATCTCTGCCCTGATGTCACAAGAGGTCTGCAGGGCTGGAGGTGACAGGAGCATCCAGTACAAACCTGGGACTGCTGAACATTAGCAGAGCTGAGGACCCCAAGGTCGAAAGCTTGAACCTGACACTAATTACAGTCAAAGACATTATGTTTCTGCACTGGGATGCACTGTGAAAAGGATTAGATTGATTTTCTGAATCAGACAGGTGCTGAAAAAGACAGACTGTGAATGAGACAGATTATGTGAATAAGACATGGACTCCATACCTTTTTAACAGTTGTATTAAAAAAACATATCTTTTTAATAGGTGTATTTAAACAGATGTGATGGGTGTATTTAAAAAAACAAAAACACATACCTTTTTTATAGGGGCATTAAAAAAAAAACATTTTTAATAGGCTTCTTAAAAAAACACATACTTTTTTAACAGGCGTATTTAAAAAGGCATATCTTTTTATTAGGTATATTTAGGAAGACATACCTTTTAACAGGCATATTTTAAAAACACATCTTTTTAATGGGCGTATTTAAAAACACATACCTTTTTGATGGGTGTATTTAAAAAAACATACATTTCTAACAGGTGTATTTAAAAAAACAAACCTTTTTAACAGGCGTATTTTTTAAAACACATACCTTTTTAACGGGCGTATTTAAAAACACATATCTTTTTAATGGGCGTATTTAAAAAGAAATACCTTTTGTTTTTAAAAACAATTATCTTTTTAATGGGCGTACTTTAAAACACATAACTTTTTAATAGGTGCATTTAAAGACAGAGTCCTAGTCTAGTCTGCCACATTTAGGGTTGAATGGTTTTTGTCTGAAGCAAGTTACAGAATTTAAATATCTCATTAACACCACGTAGCAGGTCCTTTGCAGAACGTCGCTCTCATCACAGTATGAAGTTGCAGAAGATCAAATGATTTGGTTATCTAGTAAGAATGCAGCCAGAACAACTGTTAACGCAGGCACAACATATGAACAGATCTGAAGTGAAGACAAGAGGTTGCTCTAGTAGAATATGGATTGATGACAATTGCAAACTGTTCCTTCCCATGATGCTTAATGGCAGAAGTGGAAATCGATGATGATGATTTAAAAACATAATTTATCTAGACATCAGAATCGAAAAGAGGGGGAAAAAAGAGTTGGGGGGGAGGTGGGGGATGTGTGCGCACGTGTGTGTAACATTAAATACCCTTATAGCCATGGCTTTTCGTAAAATTAAAGTACAAAATGTTAGTAAAAGAGCAGGATGCCTTTCTCAGACTTAATCGGAGCTACAGAAACATAAAGTCGGTCACAGTAAAGGGCCCTTTTCCACGCCTTCAGGCGTACTAGACATATAGGCCTTGACCTAGATTTTAAAGACCAGTCAGCATCCGGTGGGTGATGTGGTCATATCATGCCGTCCGCCTCCACTTCCCAGAACTTTACCTGGTATCCATTTAAGGCTGGGTCGATTTGGAAGCCAAGGTCATTATTTTTAAAATGCCGGCCGTCAGGATCTGAGCCCACAACCTTCAGATTCGCAGGTAAGCGTCTAGCCACTACACCCAAAGCAGCTCCTATAGAAACACAAAACTCACCCGAATTCGCCTGGCCTGATTACGCCGCTTCAGATGAAGTATCAGTCTTGCTCTGAACTCTTTATGTCTGGAAAAAAAATTTTTACTCTGCCGTTAGAAAGTTAACATGGTTAGTGGCCATTCAGAGAGTTAGAGTAGCAGTTACGTACAAAGTTAATAAGATGAAAGGAAAGTTTTGGTTGTTCAGTCTTGTTCCCGAACTTAGGTTTTGTATGCACATCAATTTTACAGATCCAGCTTCTTTACATGCAGACAGTTGGTTCCTCACCTCACAGGCAGACGCACTCCGATTTCAAAGATAAACCCCAGTAATTAGTCGCCTTTACCAACATGCTTGATAGGGAACATGTTTACAACAACAACAAGTCTAAGGACTGAATAACCTCATGATGATGATGATGATGAGATAATGATGAGATGATGAGATAATGAAGGTGATGAGATAATGTTAAAGAGATAATGATGATGATGATAACAATGATGATATCATGTTAAAGAGATAATGATGATGAGACAATGATGATGAGATAATGATAAGACAAAGATGATGAGATAATGATGAGACACTGATGATGAGACAATAATGATAAGACAATGATGATGAGATAGTGATAATGAGATAACGATGATGATGCTGATGAGATAATGATGTGCTCATGGAAGATAACAACAGATTTAGGAAGTCAGCCTGTAAGGGTTTAATGTACTCACTTTTTAATGTTCTCATGGTAAACAGGTGTGTCTGAAGGCTGGTGGTACAGAGGCTGAAATACAAATAAACCCAGTCATTCATCCGATTTAATCAAGACCTACTGACTATTCTGTGCACCACTCGAAGAATTATTGAAAATTTACAAAACCCAACCTGGAGTCGCTCATGTCACTGTGTAACCTATCTACACAGCTAGGTGTGCCGGAGTAAAGGGAAATAAACAAGCAGACTGACTGGCTAATACTGAATCATTAAATTCTGGAAGATGCATGGACAGCGTATACACTGTCAATGCTGTATACAGGCTAGGCTGGGAGATAAAGATGAATCTCTGATGCTAACACAATTACATGACCTCGAAGTGAAGCCTGGCAAAGCAGGTCGTTCAAGGTAAAGATAGGAGCACTGTAAATAACTTTTCATTGGAACAATCAGTAGAGACACCTTCGGGTGACTGCTGCATCAAAGGACTCAGAACACAAGGAAATACCCTATGTGCAGTGACGATTATGCTGAATGGTCTTGAGGCATGGCGTCCGCCTCAAGTGCTGAAGACCCCAGGTTCAAGTCACGGTGAAGGCTGGGATTTTTTCACGTGGACCTCTAGTAATTTCCTCTGGTCTCTGGGTAGTAAAACAGCCGCGTGTGTGTACTATTGTGCACGTTAAGAAAAAGGTTCAAGTCCCGGTGAAGGCTGGGATTTTTTCACGTGGACCTCTAGTAATTTCCTCTGGTCTCTGGGTAGTAAAACAGCCGCGTGTGTGTACTATTGTGCACGTTAAGAAAAATTCCCTGGCAGTTGGAAATCGAAAAGAGTAGCCTAATGGTGCTTTGGAGTTGAAAATCTACCCAAAGTATTTCAGGATTCTTGGCCCATGCTACGGAGTTCATTTTTGCGCTAAGATTTTTCAGACTCAGGCAGGAGTTAGAAGTAGAAGGGAGCACTTATGGGTTACCACCCTTGTGCCATAATGTTGATCCGTTGTATAAACCAAAACATAAAACTGTTGACTCTTCTTTCTCATGTTCGCCGGCTATAAACTCCGGTATAGAGTTCTGGTTGTTCAAGTAATCCTGGAAAATTATTCAAGCGTTACTTGAAAAATGAGCATTACTTCAAGGAGCTCTCATGAAATGAAAATTGCTTTCAGGGATCAATGACAGGAGAATTATTTCAAGAGCTGAGGAAGTTTCAAGTTGTTCAATGAAAACAAAAGGTTGTGAAAAAGCATTTTTTTTTTTTTTTTTTAATATAAACTTAAATTATATAGAATATAAAGAATTTTATGAAAATAATAAGTATAGAACAAAATGTTTTACTAATGATGGCATTTCCCCATCATATCTGACTACAAGTTGACAGCACTATGAGCAAGAAGTTTTCAGCCACAGTGCCTGGGACACCTCTTGGTGGCTTTAATCTAGAAAGTATTAAAAAACAGCAACAAAAAGGATGTTCTTACCAACTCAATCTTGGGGCCGAGTTTCTCAAAAACCTTGTGTGCAGCTTCAGCCTTTTTCTGAAACAAACATACAAAACATTATTTCCTTTTACAAACCTATTCACTTTTGCAGTGACAAAATATTTAGTTATTATAATAACACAACATAACCCTTGACCTCTTAGGGTCGTGGAAGTGCATCGATAGAAGCACTAGCTCATAAAACCTGCCATCTTTCTTCTTCCGTCCGCTTGATGAATAAGTGTATGGTAACTTAATCCGGTCAATTCCTTGATGTTGTCATTCCAGGTTCTTCTTTTCCCTCCTCTTCTTCAACTAACCTTCAATATTCCTTGTAGTACATTTTCTGCAATCGAATTATGTCTCACCATGTGCCTGAAACAAGCTATCTTGTGACGTTTCACCACTGGCAAGAAATGCTCCTAATGTCCTGAAAATTTAGTTATTATAATGGCTGAAGACAAATATTTAGATTGGGGTGGCAAATGAAAAGATAGATACAGAGTTTAGTGACCCAAAAAGCTAATGAATGAAATTGTGTATCAACTCTTTCAGTGTGATGCAATGTGCAACCGACTTCTGTCAGTGAATTCCTATCAATGGCAAATATATTCTTTGACTTATTTACATTTGGTCACAGCAGGCTAAAGAAATCTGGCTTTCCTCATTAGCCACTTCCACTGCATTTAACCTCTCTGAAATCCTTGACTGACTGAATGCTTTCCCGCGCTACAAAAAGGTTTAAGACCTTTTAGATTCAGTCAACAGTCCAACAGGACAAACTTTCGACATCCTGTTCAGACTTCTAAGAAATTTCATTATGTCTATAATGGCAGCTCTTTGGCACTGAGGTTAGAAGTTTCACCTTCAATGTTTACTAGGGTTCAATTCCTGTGGTCAGCAGTTTAGAAAAAGATTGTTTTCATGGCTTTCCGACCAAGGTGCAAGAGTCACACGGTAAAAGAGACTGGTGCATCATCATGTAATATTCTCATACTAGCAGCAGACATACGGCAACCAATCTCCATTGAGGAGGTGGCACAATTATTTATTTTTTTTAAATTTAAAACATCTACACTAAGTATTTGGAAGCTACCAGGGTGTAGCGGCCATACGCTCATCTACAGATTAGACGGTCATGGGTATAGGTCTTGTCGGAGCCGGACTTGTCAAAAATGACCTTGGCTCCCAGGTCAACCAGTCTTAAATAAAGTTCCTTTAGGTAAAGTCCTGTTGAAGTAAAGATGGCTGGTGTGATGCTGACCACATCACACACCAAGTTCAAGTTCCAATTGGTCAATAAAATTTAGGTCTAGCTGTATATGACAAATACACCTAAAGGTATGGAAAAGGGTCCTTTACTTTTGCACTAGGAAATTCTTCATACCCCAGATGACGTCACAGGACAGTCCAACATTTTAGAGGGTGGTAAGTCTGGGTTTCCTGGCTTTCTGATGCTTTTAACGACCCCAAAACATTTAGAACTGGCCCTAAATCCAACCCAACTACATCCCACGAGAGAGTGCAGCCTAGGTCCCACGACTGCATGCAGCCTATCTACCACCCCCTGAAATATTAGATTGTCCCATGCCCTGTGGATTTTCCCTGCTTGGGTTAAGACATTAATAAAACCAATTCTTCTTCTTCTTTAGTCCTGTTCTGCCTTTCAGCATCAGATTCTGAAGAGACATTGAGTGTGAACATTAGTACGTGCTACCGGAGTAAACGAAAGTCGGTTAACATTCTGTGGGATGAAAATGTGTATTTCTGTGTGTTTTTAAACATCAGTGTGTTCAAATAAGGATGATCCTGCGACAGGTCCAGCAAACCGGTAGGGAATTTATTTGTTCACGGCAAAATTGCTCAAGAATTATGGAGGAATTTAAAGAAAAAGCGTTTGGCCATCTCGTTAGAATGCAGCAAGATCAAATACCATCACAAGCACTACATCTCAGAAGATCAGCTACAAGAGCAAGAGGACTGCTGCGGAAAACATGGATCAACAACATTAAAGACACTCTATCCTTCATGGCATGACAATAGCCAGCGGCAGCCAACGTGCACTGGATCGCAAATTATTCCTCCCCACGACGCTTAACGGCAGAAGAGGTTTATGATGATGATGATAAACTAGACTCTGGTATTTAAGGCTTCAGATGTTTTATCTATCCATCACTGGCATGGTCGACCTCTAGTTCTGCTACCATTATGCCTTATTGACAAGGTTCTCTGTGGCACACTATCTGGTGGTTGTCTTCACACATTCCAAACCATTTCATTTGTTGTCTCTTGTAGTTTAGTACTAGTTCTATCCCAACCTCTTTCCTGATAACGTCATTACACTAAGTACTACCTTATTCTTCTCCTTCGCGTTCAACAGTTGTAAACTCCGTCAGAAAGTGAGTATTTGTCCACTTCTGGACTCTAGTCTTGTTCCAGGGCCTTAGTTTAGTGTGCACATCCATTTTACAGACCTGGCTTATTTGCATGCAGACTGTTGGTTGCTCACCTCCCAGGCAGATGCATTACGGCAACTATATTTTATATATCAAGCGCATTATGTTCATATGTCAAAATAAATGTAAATTAGAAATACAAGGGCATAGATTATAAATGCAAAGCTTCAAATCATCATCATCATGTAGCAGGTCCTTTGCAGAACGTCGCTCTCATCACAGTCTGCCTGAAAGAAACTCGGTCTCTCGCCAGTTCTCCCGCCTCATGTACTTTCACACTCAAGGAGTCACTTATATCCTGTGCCTATCTTCGTGTCGGTCGGCCCCTGCCCCTCCTTCCTGGTACCATGCCTTTTGCTATAATTTTCTCCAATCCATCGTGGCGCTTGATATGACCAAAATATTTCAGCTTTCGAGAAAGGATGCTGTTTATTAGCCAATCTTCCTTGATGTTCAGATCTTTTAAGATGTCAATATTCTCATCTTCTTTGTCCAAGATATTCTGAGAATCTTTCTATAGCATTTCAGCTCAAACGCCCCTATTCTCTTTCTTCAAATATACACGCAAAAATACACATTGCAGACACATGAAAAGAAGAAGAAGAAGAGTTACCCAAACTTACAGACTGGACGAGGGCTAGAACACACTTACCCTGTTCTCGGCATAAATAACCTGAGCAATGCTTTGGTGCTTCGGCTCATAGACCAGCTCATGGTCATCAGATTTTTCTTCCTGGGGCTTGGATTTGTTCTCCAGGAGTTCAGCCTGAGGGAGAGGGACAGAGAAAACACTGATTGAATTCAGGATAAACAGGGTTGAGAAAACACTGATTGAATTCAGGATAAACAGGGTTGAGAAAACACTGGTTGTATCTGGATAAACAGGGTTGAGAAAACACTGATTGTATTTGGGATAAACAGGGTTTAGAAAACACTGATTGTATCGGGATAAACAGGGTTGAGAAAACACTGATTGAATTCGGGATAAACAGGGTTGAGATGTTTCAATGTCCACCTTAGGTTTAGGAACTGTGTGGTTTAATCATGGCATGTAGCTTGGCATTTGTACAAGAAACTTGTGACTCTAATGAACTTGTGTGACTCTAATGTAACATGTCCCCCTGTTCTCTTTGCCAGTAAAAAAAGAAAAGTAGCCTTGTAGACTTAGGGGCAACAAGTTACTCACAATGAAGTGTACACCATGAACTTAGGTGTAGGCTATAAGACTGCTGTCCTGGCAAGAACTAGGGATTGGAGAAACCTACCCATGGAACTCTTTACCTTGGACAGTACCTCTGCTGAGGTAAAGTGACTGCTTGCGTCAACAGTCAGCTGCAATTCTGGGGGGAGACTGTTAGTGTTGGCACATATGACGGCAGCTGTAAGCATTTACTTTGAGTGCGTGAGCTTTATGAATTTGCTAGGATGATATGTTTTTCACTAGTTTTAAAGTGGGATAGTGAAGGGCATTTAGTGTGATTTCTACTGGTAAAGAAAGGCTACAGAGTGATTCTTCTGCAATGAAGTTGAAACCTCGACAAACTACTAAGAGGAAGTCAACTTTAAAAATCTGCCAAGTAAACTTTCAAATCAACTTTATAAAACTGCATGCAAAAGTTGGGCTTCCTGACTTGCCAAATTTGGCCCTCCTGACTTCTCAGTGACTAGTGTATATAGCTTGGTCTGATAGACAACATTCAGAAAACTGACCCCATTTGCAAGAAGAGGAGAATAGCAAAAATGGGAGGAGAAACGTTGCAGAAATAAAAAGCATGATTATTCACTGAAGCAAACATGATGTACTTCATGACATTCAGTCAGAAGACAATCTTTTTAAAAGCTTTTTTTTTTTTTTTTTTTTAAATTTTGATTTTTCTTCTCCGTCTTCTTCTCTTCATCCAGTCACCTCACTGAAGTATTAGAAGAACATGTAAGGATCTTTGCCTTTTCTAATGCGCTGTATAAGCAGATCTTATTTCTTTAAGACTGTTGATATCACAAATGATGACTAGTTAAATTATAAACAAATCTATATTTTCAGACAAGAAAGACACCCGCTGACTTAAATTTTAAAAAATCACACAGCTCTTGAAGTTACCACAAAAAAAAAAAAAAAGGGCAATTAAAGATTGAAATAAACAAGAAAAATGTCTGTAGCCAACAAGAGTCAATGACTGTAATAAACAACAAAGGTATTCTTAATGATGAGAATTCCCCGCGTTGGTTCTGGGACCCACTGTGGGAGGGGGGGACAAACAATCAGAACTTTCCTCCGGAGTTTACAGCCGGTGAACTCGAAGAAAAGAAAGAATGATGACCACGGCAGCAGGAACAAAGGAAAAAATTACACATCTGGTTCTCCTAACAACAAACTCAACACTAGTAACTCACCTGCTTCTTCTTCAGCTTGCCAATCTGCTGCTCCACGTTCACCATGTCCCTGTCTACCTGGGCAATATTGGCAAGAAGTTCCTCTCTGAGGATCTTGTTGGCTGGGTCTTCCTGAGGCATGATGGGAGAGATGGCCTCCACTTGTGGGGTGTAGGCTGGCTCCTGATGATGAAACAACAACAATGTAAAAACCCTTTCACAAAGACAAGCCACAAAAACTGATACTTCGGGTTGCACCCAATTCCCTTGTAACTGTCACTTTTTAAAATTGTCTATAGTGACCTGATTAAGTTTTAAAAGTCAGGATAAAACATTAACTAAAAATTGCATTTAAAAGTTCTTTTATTTGAGCCAAAATGTTTTTTAAAGCCAGTGAATCCCATTTGCCAGCAAGCCTCAGTGTTAGAGGTCACGGCATGAGTCACCTGATTCATACTTTTTTAAAGATACTGGGGAATGTACTCCATTTAATACTCCACTCAGTTCATGTTTACTGATTACCCACTTCGTATATCTGTAAAAGTTTCATGAGAAAACATGAACAAATGTAAATAAATAAATTGTTACAATAAGGCTGCGATATTTGCACTTTTCAGCTAATATATCCGAGTGCTACAGGTATTTGTTGCCCATGTTACCATTCCCTGTTTTTTTTTTTTTTTATAAATTTATTATTATCTGTAAAAACAATTGAAAAAATTTTTTTTAAGGTTATTCCTAGAATTTCAACGAGATAATGGCCCATTTTTAAAAGTGTTGCCGAAGCAAAAAGTTTAGCATTATACTTATACTAAGTGATAACACTGCGATACAAATATGGCGTACCACTATAGTGCACTGAGACAGGTCCTTAAAAGGTTTAAGGGTAAAACCGAGAGGACTGACTTCATTGCACTGGATTTTATCCCATATGATTTAGTCTCTCTCTGCAGAACAGCTAGCCACCTGCAGGAAGCGTCACACACAGCACAAACTCTGTATTGCCGGCGACGATCCCCCAGGGATCTCTGTGAAAATTGCTTTTGTGAACCGAACTGTGCAGTTGTGCAATGAAGACCGGACCTTCAGAGCACAAGGCAACAGGCTTGACCACTTCACCATGGAGACCTCCAGTCAGGTCTTTTACATCCACTGCTTACCTGTCCAGCCAGCCAACCCCCTGGATTGACATGCACAAGGTGTCCCACAAGTTTCTATACACAGAAAAAACAAACACACCACCAATGCGGTTACAAGCATAACTCCAGCTGTGATTACATGTGTTCTTTAGCACTGGCAGACCCACAGTGAAATGGTAGCCATTCCCTGTGTGGGTTCCAGGGCACCATTGTTGGGAAAGCAAAAACAGACCCACTAACAAGCATGTCTTAAGCGTTGACTAATTAGGGGATTCTTCTGAAGTCTGAGTGCATTTGCCTGAGAGGCAGTGGACCTGAAGTCTGCAAACAAATAAGCCAGGTCTGTAACATGTAATATTCCAGTTATGAAACAAGACTACTATCCAGAAGTGGACGAACAACCAGAACTTTTCATCGGAGTTTACAGCTAGTGAATAAGAAGAAGAAGAAGAAGAAGACTATAACTAATAAGGTTTTCATTAAAACAAAAAATGTTAATTTGTCCTATGTATGAAAACGAGATATGAGCCTGTATAACAACTGATAAATGTCCACACATTATAACTACCTTAGTCTGTCTATCTCCCACACCGAAATCCCCATATTCAAGCATCTAACTCCATCTATCTATTCCTCCACCAGTAACAAAATCTTGTTCACTTTCAGGTGTATGGGGCATATAGGGCTCGACCCATGTTTTATAGACCAATCGGCATGCGGTGGGTGATGTGGTCAACATCAAGCCGGCCGGCCATCTTTACTTTCTGAGACTTTTCCTCATACCCACTGAAGAAACTGAAGGCTGGGTGGATCTGGGAGCCATGGTGATATCTGAAAAAAGTCGGCTCTGTCAGGACCTTAACCCACCACCTTCGGATGCACAGGCAAGCATCTAGCCCCTGCACCACAGCATCTCCCTATTCCATGCAAATAGCTAAATCTGCCTGCATATCAAATCTACCTAATTAACCATAGCCAACTTCTTCTTTTCTGTCGTCCTGTTTTGCCTTTCAGTGTCAGATTTTAAAGATGCATCGGGTGCAAGCCTTGATTTGTGCTACAATGCTAGGCCCCAGTATTTTCCGGCTATCCGTGACTCTATACATCATTTACCTGTTCATCGTATTTACCAGTCCACCCTATTTATCTTTTTACCCTGTCTGCCTGTAACCCATATCTACCATTTAATTCTTCTACATACCTGTCCTCAGCTTTATAATAGGATTCTACATACCTGTCCACAATATCTACCTACTTGTTTACTTTCCTAACCTATCCATGCAAGAAAACCTACTACAGCCAACCAACTCAATTAATATGCAATGAATTACAGAGCGGTGAAAAACAATGAGAGAACTGTCTGGGCAGTATCAATAGTTATAAGACAGAGAAAATAGCCCTATACTGGACACATTCCGAGATATGATGAACAAAGAATCATCAAACAGATATTGACATGAGATATACATGGGTTCAGGAAAGTTGATGACAGAAGCCAAAGATGCCAGACTGGATTCCATCCATGATATCAAAGGGACTGCACAGGAAACAGTGAGCCCTATGTGACATATAACGGCACAACTGAATAATGAATGAATGAATGAACTATCTCAAGTGCACTCACCCTCTTAATCTCCACATCCACATGTAGAGGCTGTGTCAGGTCAGGCTGCTCCGAGGGGCGTGACCTCTTGACGGGGCTGGGCCCCATGTCCACTCCTCCATGATGGGAGGGCGGAGGGCCCCCTCCACCCTGGCTGGGGCCTGCGCCTGCCAAAGAAGGCAGGACTGACAGGCTGTCGCTGGAGTACCTGGACTGGTATGCATCGTTCACACTTCTGGGTAACAGACCAAAATAGAGGCATCTTTCACTCTTAAGTCAGGGTTTTTCAAACGGTGGACCTGTGGGCCCAATCCGGCTTGTGGAGATCTAGAAAATGGCCTGCTAGTTGTATCAATTCTAAGCTGCAGCTTGGGCCACTGGCCCCTGACAATCTGCATTTTCAACATTTTGGCCTCTGAGTGGTCTCAACTTACTGCAACAGTGTCACATTCCTTAGCCGAAGATACACACACTAGGGTGCTGTAACAGGGACACAGGATGATGATGATACAGAGAATTATGATGATACAGAGAATAATGATGAGAATGATGCAGAGAATGGAAGCTGCCATGGTCCAGTAGCTAGTCTCTCGCCTGCGGATCGGAAGGTCGTGGGTTCAGGTCCTGATGATGCCGGACTTTATTTTTCAACAAATAAACCTTGGATTCCATGTCAATCCAACTACGAGTATCACCAAGTATAGAGTCCTGGGAGGTAAGGACGGCCGGTGTGATGTTGACCTCATCCCCCACCCAGTGCCGATTCATCTATTAAATATAAGTCTAGCCCTATTTGCCCAGCACGCCTGAAGGCCTGGAAAAGGGTTCTTAACTTTTTACATGTCGTCCTTACCTTCATAGGACTGCAGGTTACACCTGTCTCGTGTACCCGTTACACCTGTTTCGTGTACCCGTTACACCTGTCTCGTGTACCCGTTACACCTGTCTCGTCTACCCATTACACCTGTCTCGTGTACCCGTTACACCTGTCTCGTGTGCCCGTTACACCTGTCTCGTGTACCCGTTACACCTGTCTCGTGTACCCGTTACACCTGTCTCGTGTACCCGTTACACCTGTCTCGTGTACCCGTTACACCTGTCTTGTGTACCCGTTACACCTGTTTCGTGTATCCGTTACACCTGTCTCGTGTACCCGTTACACCTGTCTCGTGTACCCGTTACACCTGTCTTTTGTACCTGTTACATCTGTTTCGTGTACCTGTTACACCTGTCTCGTGTACCCGTTACACCTGTCTCGTTTACCTGTTACATCTGTCTTGTGTACCCGTTACATCTGTCTCGTGTACCTGTTACATCTGTCTCGTGTACCTGTTACACCTGTTTCGTGTACCCGTTCCACCTGTCACGTGTACCCGTTACACCTGTCTCGTGTACCAGTTACATCTGTCTTGTGTACCCATTACACCTGTCTCATGTACCTGTTACACCTGTCTCGTGTAGCCGTTACATCTGTCTCATGTACCCATTACACCTGTCTCGTGTAGCCGTTACACCTGTCTTGTGTACCCGTTAAATCTGTCTCGTGCACCTGTTACACCTGTCTCGTGTACCTGTTACACCTGTCTCATGTACCTGTTACAGCTGTCTCGTGTCCCTGTTACACCTGTCTCACGTAACCGTTACATCTGTCTCATGTACCCGTTACACCTGTCTTGTGTAGCCGTTACACCTGTCTCGTGTAGCCGTTACACCTGTCTCGTGCACCTGTTACACCTTTCTCGTGTACCTGTTACACCTGTCTCATGTACCTGTTACATCTGTCTCGTGTACCTGTTACACCTGTCTCGTGTACCCATTACACCTGTCTCGTGTATTCGTTACATCTGTCTCGTGTACCCGTTACACCTGTCTCGTGTACCTGTTACACCTATCTCGTGTACCCGTTACCTCTGTCTCATGTACCTGCTACACCTGCCTCATGTACCCGTTACACCTGTCTCGTGTACCTTTTACACTTGTCTTGTGTACCCGTTACATCTGTCTCGTGTACCCATATCACCTGTCTCGTGTACCTGTTACATCTGTCTTGTAACCACGTCAACCCAGTCCTTGTGTAGGTACCAGTTACCCGCCCTGTGTAATGTCCAACCCAGCCTTGAGTGGGTACCAGCTACAGCCGGTGAAATGTCAACCACATCACCCACCGAGTGCCATCTGGACGATAAAATATAGGTCTAGCCCTATATATCCTATACGCCTGAAGGGCATGGAAAAGGGTCATTTACTTTTACTATGAAACAGAGGTTTGAACAACAGATCAACATCATGGCACACGGGTAGTGACCTATAAGTGATCTGTTCTTCTTGTAACTCAAGTCTGAGTTCACAGTGCACAGGCTCGGTAGCACCAGCGAACATTCTGAAATACTTTGGGTAGATTTTTAACTCCTAATTTTGCCCGGGCAGCGCCGTTAGGCCAC